AAAAAAGCCCTAATGTTCAAGTTTAGAAGTTTCACGCACGGGCTTGCCCAGGTTGAGGTCAGCATCACTCGTGGGGATTAAGGAATCACCCCGTCTTAGTAATTTCTTTATTTTTTGTAAACAGGAACTTACTCTCCCTAATGGAGATACCTCCCCTCAGGAACACAAATATCTCCCTTTTAGGGTTTAAATAACAAGCAGAAATGCCGATGACTGTGTTGAATGTTCAAGCGGACGCGGGAGGACCCCAGGAGGAGCAGTTGGAGCTTGGCTGCTGTTCATTTACAGGCTCTAATAACATTTTTAATGTTTCTGGGGAGTTTCTTTGGCTTGAAGGTGGTTGTGAGAAGCGGCAGGTAGTTATTTTAGCTAATTGCTGTTCCTATGGAAACCCCGTGTTCGCAGCGCCAGCCTTGCTGTCAGCTCTGTGATCCTCTGCTGGGGCTTCTGGCCAGCGTGGCAGCTTCGTCCTTCCCGAGCCCCAGGCCTGAATGTGCCGGGAAGCGACGTGTGTTGCTGGGACCACCACGCTCGGAGCCACGTTCCCTTCCCCTTGGTGTCCCTTTCCCCACCGTGTCTTTATGAAATACTCTCTATGAAGTGACGCAAGGCGCTTCCACCCCGTCTCGAGTCTATTGCAGGTCATGGGCACTGAGCAGCCGACCACGAGAAAGAAACACGGACATTKGCTTGTAAAGAAAGGTTTTTCCAATAGTCCTTGCATCCCTGTTCAGACACATCGCGAGATGTGTGACCCCTATAGATTATTTCCTGCTGAAACCCTGCTCTGCACTGGGGCTCTAACACTACTTWTGGTTGACATTATTATAACTGAGCAGTGAGTCCTCTATGGAGGGGTAGTAGATGYTCTTCCATGGACCATCCAAGGCCTGAAGACTCCTTCTAGGAAGCCCAGGGAGATTTTAATTTGGAGGCGAGCTCCCAGCAGCTGCAAAGACAACAATTTTTTTATTCCCAGAGGATGAGCAAGAAATAGCAACTCCAGAAGGTAAACATTAGTACCAGAAAATAAACTTGAAAAATGCTTCTGTAGAAGCTAGCATATGGACCACTAACAAATTGCTTACTCAGCTGAAGAGTTTTACCTTTAAAGTAGGGTAGCAAAACATAGAYGCCTTTTGAGGTATTTTTGTAAATAGGAAACTTTGTGATCTTTCCACAATGAAGGTAGAGCCAGATTTCTTTTTTATTTTTTGACTCTTACTGTTTCATCAAAACCTTACTCTTCCCTTTCTTCCGTTATTGAGGTGTCATGAGCAGTTGTATTTCATTAGAAACCTTTTGAAAGAAAGATCACCCCCAATATTATGACAATAAAAAAACAACTGATGTGTTGACGTATTCACAAACATTGAAGAACGCGACAGAAAAAATCTCTTTTCCCAAGCAGAGGTTGTTCAGTGGCAGCCGGGGACCTGGATATACAAGAAGAAATGGCAGCAATCCTGGGTGGCTCTGTGGCACGACTGAGACAGGCTTTCTCCCCAAAGGGATCTCGGTGGTTGTGACCTGGGTGATTTGGAATAAGAGCACGCGACAGGAGGTGTAAAGAAAAGAGATGCCTTGCAACTCACCCGGACAAGTTTTCCATAGCAGCAGGACTGGATCTGATGCAAAGCCCACAAGTCAGCTCAGGCGTCAGCACACAGAAGATCTTTAGTGTATTTAAGGTTAGATGTATTTGAACACATTGAGAGAAGGTTTGCATTTTGGGAGGTTTTGAGTATTCTTTCTGCTCCTGCTTCATAACGTTGCTTCTGTGCTGCTTTCCAGTTTCACARCACCACTAACTTGCTCTTTGCTGTCCTGTGGGACAGTTGTGAGTATGCGGGAGAAGAAATGCACATTATTAAGAACTGGTTCCTGGATCTGATCATCTTAGAAATTGCATTGTAAAACCTAGATTCATTAAACATATAGTCCACACAAGATGCTCTCTTTCTGTCCTCAAATATGTAGAGCCAGTGATCTGTTTTTTTGTTTAAGAGGTCCCTGATCATGTGAGTCATAGACCTCCCTGACCCTACAGTTAGCACATGTTCTGCAACTCCTCCTCTTGTGGTCTAGACTCTTACTAGTTTTGTTACAAAATTGATCTTTTAACTGCCCAGATTGCTGCAATTCGTTTTTCTTTTGCTTTAGAGAGAGAGAATAGCTGCTTTCTGTTTAGCACAGCTGCATCTTTCTGTAGCAATAAATCAAGGAGGTGGGAAAATGCAGTAAGAGGCTTTCACAAGTCTCATTAGCATAATTGCAACTAAGTTATTGGGACCATATAATGTGAAAAAGTTTATAATATAACATGCCTGCAGATGCCTTCTCCAAGAAAAAATAAATTGGAGTTGTGAGTTTGCTATTCAAAACTGGGTAAAGGAGGAGTGGTGAATTCAAGTGACAAGTGTTGTGTGCACAGCAAGAGCACCATGCTTGGAAGGCAAGTGTTGGCAGATGTTTGGTGCYCAAGGAGAGGGCTTGCTCATCCCAAGGTCTTTGAGCTCGCACTGTGAGTTCAATTGCTGTTACCAGTTGATTCAAAGAAGAAATGTYGGTGTCTCTCCCTTTACCTGGCCTTGCAGCGCCCAGAGTTTGTTCTCATCTTGTTATGYAGGACACAAATGGGTGCTGTAAGGTGACATTTTATGCCCTGCAGGCATGGTGCCACCCCTGCTCACCCAGCAGCAAATTTTGTCCCTATTTGCCTCTTCCTTCATGCTAAAAATGTCCCAACCCATTGATTGCTTCCTTCCTTTCTGCAGAAACAGAACTCACTTCAGTCCAGTCCTGCCTTTTCCTACAGCTGAGGGACGCCAAGAACCAAGACACTGCCCGTCTTTCATTTTCCTCYTTTTCAAGGGAAAGAACAAGAAGCTGTTTGACTGTACTGCTCCAGGCAACGGGGCTTAGATTTGAGGAGCCTCGCTAATCACGACTCATGTCAGTGATCCTAAGGCCTGACTTAATGCCACAYGAGCACTGATTTTACTGTGATGCGAGGAGGAGATCTTGCAGTTAGTGTAGCCGAAGCTTGCCTCTAGCATGTAGAAACATGAGGAATAAATAAGCATTTGTTTTAGATGGCTACTGAGGTTGCACTTGGTAGGTCTGCGCTCAACAAGGTAGAAGTTGATGCTTTTCTCTGGCTTGGCGCATTTCTTAGTTTGGATTTCACCCAGGAGTGACTGTTCAGTGCRTTCTGAGAACAGCTGAAAATGAGTTTTTTGACAGCAGTTTGATCAAGCCTTAAGATTGTGTCACACGCTCTGAACCTCTCCATCCTTGGTATCCATCACACATGGGGCAATTATCACCACTTCTTTCTTAGGATGTATTTCAGGGATTTTTGTTTGGTTGCATTTAAGTTGTTGGAATACATTTGATTATAATACTATTTAATGCATACATTCTGTATCCAGTTTCCTCAGATTTGCCATTTTTGTCATCTTAAACTCTGGGCTTTTATCTACATTCTGTGCATATTCTTTTTGCAGAAGATAATCTTGGGGAATAGCCACGCTGAAGACTGAAACCTTTTAAAAGGAGATCCTAAAATGACAACTGATAGAAATTGTGTCAAGCTTCTTACCCTAAAATGTGTAGCTGAAGGCAGGGGCTTTTCAGAATCGTTGCAAACTGGGCTATTTTTCCTGGATTCCATTGACAGAGGAATAAACTTGCAATGTAAAACATTGGGCCATCAACTCAGAACAGGAGTCACCAATGTTGTGTTGTAAAGAGCGTCAAATCCGATGCCAGGGTGTATTAACATCCTTGACAGAGTCAGCGAGACCTCGGGGGGATATTTAGATTAGTTTCTCTTCACTGTCTAGAGTAAATAAGCAAAAAGGAAAGTATAGGAAAAACGGCCTGCAATGCACTGTGGAAATATTTCAGGTGAGTTAGTCTTTCAAAATTGCCTCTTAGCACATCCTTGGAGGCTGCTGTTGCCTCATTGTGCCCTTAAGTACTGATCCTGGCTCAAGAGGGCTCGAGGAGGACTGGAAATTCAGGCTGGAGTTTAAAGATGTTGCTGGGATAGTGATGGAGATGATGGGGTAGTTGCTGGAAGTGAACTTCAGTTATCGGCAGTCACTGGAATATGGGGATGGTGACCACAGATGTAATTCTCCTGTGACCAGTGGCAGTAAAACTAGTGAAAAGGCACTATTTCTTGAAGAACATCAGTGAGATTTAATTTTTAAACTGTTCTATACAGTGCATATATATGCACATATATAACACATATATAATAAAGTAGCTTTCTATATAGTAAGTCTATAAATGGCTAGTCAAAGTTTTTAAGAACAGCAAATACTTTCCTGGTCATCAGTCAGTGTGTTATCAAACATCTCTGGAATATAGTCTTATTCATCTCATTTGCTTGAACATATAAATTCTTTGTCTTCATTTGGAAWAACATTGACAAATCTGACCTGCCATGCCTACTCAGGGTTATTTATTTTGTGTGCTTTGCACACTGTCTTGCTGGCTGGAGGACTGTGAAATGGGATCGATGAGCAGTTTGGTCACTGGGACCTTCACATGTTTGAGTTAGCATATGGCTTCGGAAAACAGTATTCATTGAAGGGAATTCCTTGATTTGTTCTTGCTGCTCTTATTGCTTGTAGTTTTGAGTAGATTTTAATGATCTTACACTGCGCCTTTGGTTACACTAAGCCTCAGCAAGTGCACTTCAGATGAGGCTAATGTGATCAGATCCTCTGCTTCGTATATTCCGATTACTTTAATGTTCTCTCATCATGAATATGCATTGCCACGGTGCTTCACAGTACTCCCTGTTAAAGTTCTGTATCCTTCACACAGTCTTCAATGTAACTTTACCCAGACTAATGGGGTACTGCTTTACATGCTTTGAGAAATTAAACTGATAATACCTAGCATGTCTTAAAACATACATATATATTTTTGCTGTTGAACCGTGTACATGAAGCTCACGCTTTCTCATTTTGTTGGCTTTTCAGYGAGAGGTTTATGGTGAGGCTGAACAAGAACGGAGGCCCCAGGAACCCGGAGAAGATAGACCGAATGTGCGCGCTCTTCACGGTGCGTTGCCCTCCCTTCCCTCTGCCCTCGCAGGACTGTACACTGGCTAGGCTCCATAGTCACCCTGAGGGCACGTGCAGTTCTTTCTCTCCTATATATTGAAGGAAATGAAGGCTATTTATAGAAGTTTTGATATGGTTATAACTACATGTTAACGTTAGATAATTGAAACGCTAAGCTCTAAGCCTTCTGCTTCCTGCAATGTGCTGTGGGACGCCAAGATGAAACCTGCACGAAACCCATTGCTACTGGGGAGCTCCTCTTCCTCCCAGATGAGCAACCCGTGCTGCCCTGGTGGGTTGGGTGGCAGCCTCCAAAGCGGCTCYCCTCCTTCTTGCCTCAGCAAAATAAACCTTGAAGAGAAAGCGCTCCCAGAGATTTATGTAGCTTAATTCTTTCCCTGCAGAGAGACATGATCTGCTAGCTAATAAGCATACCAAAGAGCACATTTGCAACTCCCTGCATCTGCCACCCAGGGAAGCACAGTGCTTTTTTAGAAGGAGAAACAAGCTACAGACRTCAATATAATGCTCGCCTGCTGTGTTTGAGCAACGTTATGTGCTTTGAAAGGGGCTTAAAGCTTCTTCTTGGACCCGGCTCTCTCTACCCGTAGCTCTTGGTCCCATGGCCAGGCTTTGTTTTGCTGTAGTTACGAGTGACCCGGTGCTCTGAAGTTCTCCATCTCTGTCCCTGGGATTTGATTTCTCAGRTTGAAATGAAATTTGCCACATGCAGTACAGTTTAGTTTTACTTTCCATCAAGAAACATTTTTTTTAATTCATCAAAGTGSTTAAACCTGATAATGATGGAATGTTAATGTCCATAGATCAAAAATTTCCCCCCATTACCAAAAATTATATGGTTTCCTTTAACAATGGCCTTAGTACTGGATGTGCCACTGATGTTTCTTACTGCTGGGACGCAAAACCTTACTCAGTTGAAAAGAGAAAGAAAAAGAGCTTTGAAAGTACAGCCATCATCTCAACTTCATTGTAAACTCATGCATAGAACCCCAGAGGGCAATTTGGGGCAATTGGGGGGCTATGGTGCAGAAGCCGGCACATAGCAATGGGATGGCAATGAATGCTTGGGTGGGAGAAGAGGAAAAAGAGGCCAGGGCTCTCCAAACGGAGCACATTTGCACACAGCATCCTTGTCCAGAGAAATCAGAGTACTCTGCTTCCTTTTCCTTCAAAGAACCTTACCRCCAAAATAATCCCTCTGTGCTTCATTTTCTCCATCTGCAAATTTCAAATAATGCCTTCTCCGATGTAGAAATGAAAGAGCTAAATGAATGGCAAGCAATGCTCTTTACTCCTTATTTTTGTTTGTTTTCAGATATTGTTATTTTGGAAGTGCAGGGCTATACGTATTTTACTGTCTTTATTCTTTCCATGCTTTTAGGATCTGAGCAGCAAGGACATGAAGAGAGATTTGTACATAGTTGCCCATGTAATTCGAATAGGTACGTTATGATTTCCTTCATTAAATGTATGCAAAAATGTTTAAAAGATTTTAAGTATTTTTAAAGGCATCTTTTACTAAACTGTGTCTGGTGAGTCTAACCAGTTAGCAGCTCAGTCTTAGACTGCGCTTAGGCTATTGAGATTAAAGTTCAACTCATCTATTGCTCAGTGCAGTGAAGTTACTGATCATTGTTTAATCATGCCTTTAAACCAAGCCAAAAAGCACCCAAAATAAACAGGCAAAAATCCCTAGCTAATAAGGAGATATTTAGTACCAGGGAGTTAAATGGCTATAGATTCTGAATGTGTTCTTCACGAGATGCTAGCAACTAAAGAATTTTACTAGGCTAAGTTTAATTTGCTTCAAGTGTTTAGGCCTAAAGCGTGAGCACCAAATAAATAGGAATAAAAGGCAATCTCTTGAGTGGTCTGAGGATCTGTTACTGTGAACAGCTCAGCAGCACAACATCTTTCATACTATCCAGGTTTTGAATTAACTGAAAAATAGCTAGGTTTTGTTTGGCTATCCTTGCAAGGAAAGGGAATTCAGCCTGGTTTCCAGTACTTACCCTGCTGGCATCTTTTGCCAGCTACCAATCTATTCTTTGTGAAATACAGGAGATCTAAATGGCTTAGTGAAACACAGCTTTGTTACGCTGTTCTGTGAACGATCACAAAAGYCTTTGAATTCCCGAATGTGTTGGACAGACTCGTTTTTCATTATCAGACCTCATTTTTCATTAACGTCCTAAAGAGTCTGAACACTGGAGTTGCTCCTCGTCACCTGAAAAGTTTATGTGAAGCTTGTAGAACTATTTAAAGATATTTTGCAGGTCATGCACAGTTTATTAATCTTCATGCAAGCTGTGCTGGACGAGCYATTACGTGTAACATTAACAAATTGGCTAGGATGATTGTAGTGATTTTCTTTTCTAGTCTTGCTATTTTTGACTCTATTAGAAAATAGCTATGGGAAGGGGGAGTTAGTCATGCAGCAGCTTCATAGCCCAGAATTGTCCTTTTCCTGCTTGAAGAGAAGCAGGATGCATGACCCAACAAATGGAACGATTGCATTTAAATCTCTAATATTTTGAATTTCTGTTACTTGTAGGTCGCATGTTGCTAAATGATTCCAAAAAAGGGCCTCCACATTTGCATTATCGCCGCCCCTATGGCTGTGCAGTCTTGAGCATCATGGATGTCCTTCAGTCCATCTCTGAGCTGAAAGAAGAGAAGGATTTTGTTCTTAAAGTTTACACGTGAGTAACTCCTGAGAAGGAAAGGAATTAGCAAAAACAGGGCCAGAAAGCAGGGTACCAATGTAGTGCAAAGATCCAAGATGCTGATATCAGATACTAGGATGCCTTAAGCCTCACTTGATATATTTATTTATTTATTTTCAGTCCTCCTTACCAGGTAACTAAAGTGGTGTTTTAGCATGAGGCTTTGGATGCTCATAGGAGCTGATGAAAGTCATTATAGGTGTTTCAGATCTGTGAAGTGCTTCAGCAGGTCCTGAGTGCTTCCYGGGTCTGTGTGGCATGCAGAGTAGCAGTTTATATACATGTCATTTCCTTCAAAGCTGTTAAATTCAAAAGCAAAGAAAAATGCTCCTTCCCACCTGATGAAATGAATGCAGTCGTGAACCATTTCTAATTCCTTATGAGGGATGATGACTAACGAAACAAATAGAAAGCAGCAACTGAAGTCAACGTTGGGTGACCAGAGGGGAAAAAAAAGCTGAGGTTTTTGGCCGAGGATCTATCTTCAGCTTGTGATTTGGAACTTKGAGCTGTCAAATGTTTATTGTGAAATGTTGGCGTTATAATCGGGATGGAGAGACCACAGGCAAACTGTTTGAGGAGCGCAGGCAGTATTTAAGTCTCTTGTCATTAAGGATAAATACTGGCAAGATCTGCGTTGCAGATGGCCCGAGATGCAGCTCATCATGTATTGCCTTGCTGTCTGTGGCCACTGTCATGGTAATAAGTTAATTTGGGGATTATAGAAGCTGGATATTCTGCGAGAAGTAGAGTCAGCAGCAGAAAGCCTGCCATTCAAGGGAAACTATAAATGAACAAAAATGGCTTTCAGTCTTCACGGAAATATTCTTGGATGTCTCCTTATAAATCAGAAATCTGTACATCCCAAGAAAAGTCTCTGAGTCAGCTCCTTCATTTTTCTTTTGCCAGCAGTTACATAAAGCGCAGTAAAAATGTCAAGCGAAAGGGAAGAAAATGGGCTTCTTTCTTATCAGTGTCAATAGACTGTAAATAATCGTGGTATTTTGTCACCAAGCAGGTTCAGCATATCCCAAACCAATGATTTTTGGTTATGTAGCTCATGTAGCTTTGTAGAGATATCTTTTAAATATTGTCACTGCAATATTCTGAATGTTGGCAGTAAGGTGTTGAAATTGGTGTATTCTGGTATCAGATTTCTCTGGATTTCTGTTTCAATTCCCCTTTAATGTGCCTTTAGCATCTTATTCACTGAGAAAAGAGAAAGAAAATTATGTGAGAAATCCTGTAAAATATTGGACTTTTATCAGTGACAATGTGTTAGCTGCTAAAAATATTCCTGTAAGGTTTGCTTGAGAGGCTGACAGATTCAGCCATTATATAAATATCTCATAACTTTTACCTACTATTTAGGTAGGTCCCTTTCTGTCTTTAAAGRAAGCTTCCTTATCTGAGGAGTTATYGATTGTAATCCTCAGGGTCTCRAATTTTAGTCAGACTGATTTTTTAAATTACATGGCGTATCTCAGTTTTGTGCTTTTTTCTTTAGTAACAACTCTGGATACTCTTGAAATTCTGTTAGATATGTAACTTACTAAAATAAATTGTGTTATTCCACTCAAATTATAACCTGTACTATTCCACGCAATTTATAACATGTATGCAATTAAGCATACACATGTTGTATGTTAATTGTATGTTACGTGGAAGGGCACTTCCCTTAGTGGAACRTAATTTCCTTTTCAGTTGCAGTGCACATCACCTGCCTCTTCCACGTGTCTCCAAAATATAGATGCRTACGCAGCAGCCATTTATTAAAATATATAGTCTCTCAAAGCATATRTTTCCATGTGATACGCTGCAAACAACATGGAAAATTCTGACTTGTCAAGTCTCCAACAAAAATCTTGGGAAGGGAAAATGGGGATGTGCAGTTTGCATCTTCTCCTTGCACATTGCTTTAAACAAACTGCTTTGTCTTTAGAGACAAAAGCAGAAATGTCAAATTTGGGTCTTTAAGTTCAAGATGCAGCAGCTAAATGCTTAAGCAATGCTGACCTGATGTTCTTTGTGTGCTGCTTATTTTTTTCACGGGTAAAATGCCTCAGGCCAAGCCTAAATCATAAGAAGGAAATGCAGAGGAAGGCAGTTCTGCATTTTTAAGGCAGGGGTGAAAAGGTTTTTTTGAGCTTGCTTATGCTCTCTGGCTAAGTCATGCAGCTGCCACCGGTGAGGCCGTCAGCATCCAGCCCGAAAAGCTCTTTCACAGGGAAAAGCAGAAAAATCTCGGACACTGAAAACGTAACAGGCTGAAACAAATACATGACGTTTCAATGGARACTTTTGCTGGATCACAAGAGAATATTTTTATACCCCCCCCCCCAAAAAAAAAAAATCAATTTACTTTCCCTGTCTTTCAGAGCTTGCCCTGTCATTGTTAAAGACTTAGGTCTGAAAAGGGCTTTTTTTCTCACAATCCAGATTTCCCTGTTTCTTAATCCTGCAGTCATGTTATAATCTTGCTAAGAGGATATAGTACCACAGCTCTAGGTATAAGCTCATTACATAAAAGCATGAAGGTTTACTTTTATATTTCTTTTTAAGAGTATACACGTAGAATATTTTAAAAGGGAGATTGGAACTAAAATCTCCATGCATATATATATATATTCATATATATTCTGTGTTTATTTGAATATATAGTCTTATATTAATATATTAATATATTAATATATTAATATATTAATTTTTATCTTGAAATGGATATATTCTTTTTTACTCTTTGCATCTTATTTCTTGTGGATTTTTTTCTTAAATATTTTTCTATTCTAATGTTTTTCTTTTCTGTAGTATCTTTCCTAGTTGGGTTTATCTTCCTATTTTCTCTGTATCTTTAATTTTTTTTCCTTCTCCTCCAGCACTGAGTCTTGCTGTGGTGCCTTGGCTGCCTTTTTGTGGCAAAACTCAAGCGTTGCTATTTGCCCAGCTGGGCAGGGCCTGCTCTGGGTTTCTGCCCCCATCCCTGTGACACTGGCATCCGATGCAGTATTGCAGACACTGCACGTCGTCAATTCAGGGCCACTGGTCCACCTGACAAGGCGATGGATGACTCGGGAAGAAATTCCTGTTTAAACYGGCAATATATTTGGTATTGAGACAGGCAAAATGTTAAGAAAATTCAATAAAAATGAATTAATGGCGGGCATCTTCAAGCCAGCGTTTCAGACGCTGAAATATTTCAGAAGAATATTCTTCTTTGTGTTCAGGAAATCTGAAGTCCGGCACATGGTACGAAAGTGGCTTGAAGCCATCTTCACACTCCGTTGATTTGGGGATGACTTGGTTCCAGCTTAATTTGCAGGCCCAGGTCATCGGAGGCTGAGGTCTATTTTAGCCTCCACTCCAGAGTCCTGGCGTGAGAAGAGAAGCAAACKACATGAGGACGACTTTTTTCCTCCCAAATAAGTCCCATGCTGGTTGAAGCCCCAGCATAGCCCAGAAGAGCACAAGTATCATAAGGGTTCTTGACCTGTCCTAGTCCTGTTTTGGTGCTGTGGCCTTCAGGAGTGCAGAGGTAGCCAGGSTGCTGTACCGCTTAGCTGCTGAAGGTCACCTTAGAGCTTGGCCATCTCCAGCACTGCGTGACCATCTCTGCCCTGGTAGAAAGGGTGGAGCAGTTGCAGGAGATGTGGGGAAGAGCATCTGGAGGGTGGAGTTGTTGAATCTTGAGACTAAAAACAGTGTCAGTTTGAAGAGGAGTGTGGATATGGCCAAGGTTTAAGAAGGAAATCCTGGTAGAGAAGAGGCTGTAGTTCACTGAAGACACCAGGACAAGAAATACGGGCACTTGAAGGAACTAGTAGGAGTTCACATTAAACAGACAGAAGGAAGTGCTCCTTTACAAAGYAGGTAGGGAACCTTCAGGAATTTGCTGTGGAGACTGGAGACCAGGTGAGATGCTGTGCAGGTGCCCTGCATTTATTTGATTGAGGACAGGGCAGCCAAATATCCTACCTGAATATTGTTTAAAAACAGATGATGATCTGTATGCCAGATCACTGGGTATTGTTGAAGTGGGTTTTAACAACCAAATTTCTCCTRGTGTAAAAATACCGCATGTAAATATAAGAGTCTGTTGGCAGGTAATTATATTGTAATTTCTGTCCTAAGAAGGTGTTGAGGGTGTACAGAGGCAATGTAATTGAATATAAAACCTAACGGCATTTGCAAATGCTTATTAAAATTACATGTAGCTGAATAAATAACTGTGGAGCAACCTTAGGCCCAGCAGTGAGAACARGAAATACCGACAGAAGCCTCATTTGGGGTGGTTGTAAGTCGTTGGCCCTGTGATTTTGTGGCGGTTATATCATATTTTGAGGCATTCTGTAAAATATGTGGGAAAGAAAAATCTTGCAAGCTCCTGAGATGTCCAAAAACTCAGCTTTATTTATTTTTTTTTTATTTAATCTGTTTAATCTTATTTAATCTTTAGAATTCCACCTCTGATTTCTCAGATCTAAGGTGGCTTTTTGCTGAGCACAAAAAGGTAACATATTGCAGCAGTTAATTTCAGCTTTGAATTAATTTTCGCTATATGTGCATGAAAACTCAACTAAGGATACCTGGAGCTTTTCCATCATAATATGATGTCTGAAACAGTTGCTTGAGTGACAGAAACATCACTGCAGGTGCCAGAGTGTCCGTGCAATGGAGAAAAATATTAGGGAATGTTTTGTTTCCTTCCACGTTTGAAAACAAGCAACATGGGATTTCTCTCATTCGTCAAAATCCTGTAACCTTTCCTGTTACTGCTGCCACAAAACTGACTTTTTTTAATCAAAAGGTGGTTCTGGAGGAAGCTTTTAACTTGAATTTGTGTTCTTTCATTTTAGGTGTAACAACGAAAATGAATGGTATCAGATCCATGAGAATATTATCCGCAAGTCCAGTACCAAATACACAGCGCCCAGCTCCAACTACGGTAAATATGTACTTGYATTTGCTTGTCATAACAACAGCTGAAGGCTGCCTTTAGGAAACTGCTCATTGGTTATAGCAGAGGTATTCAGTGAAATGCAAAGTTAAACGTAGCTGAATTTCTTTATTTACTTGTTATATTTTAATAGCAGCCCGATTCAGTATCGGGCTGCTCTCTCCGCCTTTGCTACTGGCTGCTGTGTTTGCTGCTATCCTGTATTCCCTTGAAAATGCCAGGCATTGCCCATATTGCCAGTGGGAGCAAAAGTGGGTGTTACACTTAAGGTACTTATTGGATTGTCCAAAAAATAAGTGGTGTTTTCATACCTACAAGTTAACTATCAAGAAGACTCTTTGATAGTCTCAGTGCAAACTATTTCTTTGCATAATTGAGAAATACTGAGTCTTGGTAGCATTTTTGCCACCTTTCAAATCCATTTTTGTTTTCCTAGTTAATGATAGATACATTTGGAAAGTAAATTACTTTCTTTCTTATTCCATTAGCAATCTCAGTGAGTGATTTCTCTCAGTAGCTTCTGTAGGYCTGTCTTTGCTTTTCTATTCCAAATTGTGTTAGCCGCTGAGATACAGCTCTGCTTAGTTACCAGGCGTTTTGCTTTGCTTGCTAACTGAATATGGGACCCAGAAGGGCCTCCTGAGATATGTGCTGGGGCTTTCTAGATTCTGTTGGCCAGATAATGTAGTGGAATACACAATTCACACAGTAGTTACAATAGAGGGGGGAAAAAAACAATTTTCAAGTTGGGAATTTCATTTTATGCAAAGCTGATCTCCTCTTCCCAGCTGTTTCTCTTATACTCATGATTGTCCACTGCTTCTYCTTAAAACATTACCCTGAATTGCTTCTAACTTGGAAAACTTGGACTTGGAAAACTAAGGACACTTACTTGCTATGCCAGCTGTCTGCATAACACATTTTCTTTTTTCAGGTGTTCCCTTTTCTGAAGAGTCAGGAGGAAAGGGAAGCAGCTTCTTATCTTTGTCTCCTGCACTTTAAAATATGTTTTTTCTACACGTTTGATTAAAATCTAGTGCATCTCTGTCATAGGAACTTGAAACTTGGCAGGGTTTCTTGGCCTGGTRTGAGGGACAGCATTGCAGGCTGTCATGGTTTTAGCACTAGGTAAGGCAAAGTGGGGCGCTCGGAACCTATTTTTTCCAGGGAGGATATCATAGGATCATTAAGGTGCAAAGGGACCTTTAGAGATCATTTATGCTCTTGCAAGTGTGATTTCTCCCAAGGAAAGAAGYCCCCACCTTCCCTGTTCCTGAGTAAGACCAGTCCCTATCTAGTTCCTTGTAGTTCCTGTTGTTTGGTGGCAATGTGTGGGAATTGCATGGAATTAATATCTATGTGCTATACTGGAAGATTGCATCTTCCCTTAGTAATTGATTCGTATTACCTAATAACAGGTAATTCTGGTGCTGTTTGGTCAAGYACTGGTAGTGTCGGTCTGAAGTCCCAGCTTAATGGTCCAAGCTGGCRTTTGCCACAGTTCCTTAGRCTGGGATACTTGGGATAKRTTTCCCTTTGTTCTTTTTAAATGGGAATGAGGCTATCACACAAACCAGTTTTTCTGCAGGCAGCAAAAACARYCGTGACCTTTTCCTAACGAACGCGTCTCCTTCACGCGCTCAGCGCCGGCTGCAGCRCCCAGGCTGGTGTTCAGAGCTGTGGATTTTCCTTCTTTTGTGGATTTTCTCTGTTCCTAAAGCCCCTATATTCCCTGCAGTGCTCTCCTACCTGCTTGGCTGGACAGCTGCAACAGTGTTTGGCAGCTTTGGGGACCCACGTGCTGATCATCCAGCTGGCTGCTTGGCCTCTGCCTTTCCCTTAGAATTAAAGCTTTAGGAGCAGCTTTCAGCCTAACTGACATTCATAAAAACTATAGGAGCTTTGTGTTTTCTACTTGTCAAATTTGTCTAAAACTGAGCAACGATTAACAACAATTAATTTTGAGGAAGTTTGACAGGAAGATGCCTAATTATTGTTTGCAACCCCCCAAAATTGTTCCTAGTTAACAGCAGAACTGCAGATGCCAACAGGCACTTGAGGCTCCTGAAACGTGTTGAGGTGCTGAAAGGGATTTGCTTACAATCAGCGTTCTTGTGTGTAGCAGGAAAAGAAACGAGGGAAATAGATAATCTACAAGATTATTTGGTGGTACTAGATGGGATTAAGGGCACTTTAGAGAGACAGTGTTCAGCAAAGTGGTATTTCAACTATCAGGGACACTGGAGTAGACGCAAAACAAAGTGCTGCACTGTGGCTTGTGATGTTGCTGCAAAATAAAGAATTATGATACAAACTTGCTGTTTTATGTAATGTTATGGTTCTAACGGGTCCCTTAAAGTCCCAGAAAACAGATTGGTTCCTGGAATATATTGACGTCTAACACTTAGGTCCAGGAAAATGAACTTTTTTTTTCTTTTTTTAAACTTTATTCTTTTTTTTTTTCAGGACTTATAATCTCTCTGCAGCTTCTTCGTGGTGACATGGAGCAGGTGCGAAGGGAAAACCCCCTGATCTTTAGCCGCGGGGTTGCCGTTACCAGGAAGCTGGGCTTTCCCGACGTGATAATGCCAGGTAGGCRTGGGGGCTCCTGGCGGGAACATCCTCATGTTTTTCATGCCATGGGCACTTTGACCAAAGCTGGTTAATGCTCTGTGGAGTTGCCTTGTTTGTGCCCAGTTGCCAATTCCCCATTCAGGGAGGACAGMGCTAGCAGACAGTTGAGCGCAGTGTAGTAAGAAATGGGCTTACTAGTTAGTTTGCATGTCTAGCATTTGAAACGCTCCCTCAATTCTCTGCATAATGACCAAGGATGACATTGCAGACGTGGGAAATTTTATGAACGCCTAATGGGAGAAGTATTAGAAGTTATTCCTGGAAAGAATTCAATAACATAGCAGTATAAAAATTTGTAGCCTCATTGTGGAGGTTCTTCAGAAATATAATCCAAATAGGGACTAAGTAATAAGAATTTAAAAAAAAAAAAAAAAAGTACCAAATTTACCATAAAATGTGTTTTACTTATTAAAGCACCTGAAAAGAGCAGTATAGCAGGAGCAGATGGTTGTAACTCGTGAGTGGGGGCGACTTACCTGGAGATGGCAGATGTGGTGTCTACGCCTCTAGCTGTCTGACCTGTTTCTCTCTTGGTGGTTCCTGTCACCTGCTGGAGGGACATCTTAGCTGTTCATGGGAAAGCTGCTAAGCCTCTGTGATTTATAGCCCAGCATATGGAAGTAACCTGAAATCCGTGCCAGTYGAAAGCCAGTTGGGAATTCTAGTGCCTAGTGAGCGCAGAGCAGTTTGAGTCGTAACCCAAAGCAGTCAAGTAAAGACGAAATACCGCACGTTGAGAGGCAGGCACAGACCCTGCATGGTGATTTGCTGAAACAGAGATAACAGATAAATAGTGGGGTTTTTTTTTAAGCATTTAGGCATCTGAACTGATTCTCCTTCAAGAATTGCCTTTTTCTCCACATTGCATGTGTAGAGCTGTCCCTCAGGTCCTTCAGACTGCAAAGTGTTAGCTAGCTTAAACGGTGGCTTCCTGGCCTCCGTGTTCCCCCTTATTTATTTACTTATTTATTCCCTTTTCTGGGTTCAGCATTTCTCTGAAAACCAGCATAGTGGAGCTGTCTTTCATCTACTTCTCTTTCTAGCAATATCCTTGCCCCRCAGTCAAACAAACAGATTAGTTTCCAGGCATAAATTAAACAYGGCATTTGATATGCAGTCACTGAGGGTGCTCCTAGCCTAGGCCTTATAGACTCTCTGTTGGCAGCATTTTCACCATAAAGCTCAATATATAATATATATGTTCAGTAGTTATCCCCTGTGTTGACCTATAGCTCAGATTTGCTGTCAATTTTTCAAATTTTATGCCTCAAGAGGCCTGTTATTAAGTCACTGTTGCTGCTAATCTCTCTTTTTGTGTGTGATCTGCAATTCTTGTTGGAGAAAATAGACTTTTTGAGATGATCTGTTTGGAAATGAGCTCATACATGTAGATCTGCCCAAAAATGGACAAACAAATTTGTCAAAGGAGCAACGTTATGATATTAAATGATTGTTGTCTTCTTAAAAGTACTTCCTTAAAAGCACTGAAACTTTCCTGAATTCAGAGGAGGCTGCAGGAGGTCTGCGTAGCCATATTTGAAAAAAATAACCTTAAATTTATGGAGAAAGGCTTGGAAATGTCTTTAAGCAGCAAGTAAGAGGGCAAAGGCAGCCACAGAAGAGTCCACAGAATTTCCCTGTCAGCCAGAGAGTAATAATAAACATGGAGAGGGCCAGAGTAAAGGTGAGATGCAAAGAAAGGTTGTCCTGAGTGGTGGTCTGGAAAACAAACAAATAAAATGAGCTTTCATTACCTTGAAAAAATGGGGAAATTAGGAAATTAAAATATCATGTAACTGCACCCAAGAAGAGAGATGCTTATTCCAATTTCTTATACAGTGTTTGGAAACAAAAATGTTGGACAATACTCAATAGCAGATAYTTGCCCGCTGAGTTTTCTAAACAATAGATCAAATTGTGGTCTGAATTTATTAGAAGTCCAGGATTAAAACATCACAGGAAGGGCAAATTACATTTTGGCTGCATTAGCAAGGCTGAACAAATAAGGAATGCCTGTTCTGTGCCCCAGTTTTTGCAGCTGGAATCAGACATTCCTCCGTAGTTTATTAATATTACCATAGATCTGGATTTTCCAAAAGCAACTCATGGGCTTGTAGCAGTTTCCAACCACATCTGCTGTAATTGCCTTTGTCAAGCTGCCTCCCCGGGCTTCGCTTCAGGGCTGTTTCTTTCCCGTTAAAACCAGGGCTCCTGCCCTCCRCAGAGGGCACGGGCAGCTCCGAACTGCCACTGCATGCAGGGTGTTTCCCAAAAGGATTTTGTAGAGTTAGTTAATAAAGACTGTCACTTGTTAATAATCAGTGATGGATCTGCTGAACCAAGAGATTTATTTAAAARTAAATAGCTTGAGCATTGCAGGTGAATTTTCTTGGTTGGAAATTTTAATATTTTAATTCACTAGGAATTCCTTTCACCCTTAGACTTGTTAACCATTGAAAGCCTCTAGCTGTATGTTTTATCACACAGCCTTTCTATGCTGTTTTGCCTTCCTAAAAGCTGCACTAGCGCCCATACCATACCCTCTTTTCCCCCACCCAAAGGGTGAGCAGCTTGAGGGGTGGCAAGTTCTCATTTAGAAATAAAGCCAGGTCCTGTGCTTAAATCCTCCCTGGTGCTGCAGAACAAGGTTAATATCCTTTGSGATAACCCTCCTTTCTACACATAAAGATAGTCTTGGTTTCCTGTGCTGTCGTGATCCGAGMGGAGCACACCGAGGAACGTGGCGCTCTTGGGTGTGCGTCTCCAAAGAGGTTCCACCCAAGCAACCTCACGAACAGACTGTTTCTCTCTGTCATTTCTAGTTTATTCTTTTCTAAACTGCTGCTGGGTTTACGAACGTCCATCTGACGCTGACAATTTTACCTTTCCCCAGAGATAAGAGCCATGAGGCATGTGCTGCTTGCCTTTGGGATGGCACCTTTCTTTATGTACAGAACTTGCTGATCAGAAATCTCTTGCATAGGCATGGCGTTTGTCAGTTCCCCAAAGGACATCCCTTCCCTTCCCCATGTGCTGATAAGTATTCTGTCTTTTACTTTGATCCTCTGATGAAACGTGCATGCTTCATCTTCTACTTGTGAGTGATGTTTCTTTCTCTTTTTGTTTTTCTCTCTCTCCTCCTCTTAATTTCCTGCTTCCTCTCTCTCTCTCGCCTTTCCTTTCACTCTCTCCCCTTTCTTTCTGATGCAGAGATGAAGATAGTTGGGTGTAAGTGTCTGCTTTTCTGTGTACTGTCCGCTTCTTGCTTGCTTTTTCCCATCTCCACCTTGTTTTGCGTTGAATGTTGGGGATCGGTAAAGATTTAAAAGCGGTGTCGTGGTAACTTTGTGGAGAGAGACAGATCTGATGTCTCACAGGTCCCTAAACCAAAGGGTTGCAGACAGTTTTGCTAGATACCACAGATGCCTCGGTACCAAAGGTGAGTCGCGCTGGAGCATCGATTCCGTCACTGACCACAGAGCCATTAAAGAAAAAAAATGGGGCAGGAGGCCGTGGCAAAATTCATCAGCTCTTCTCGCAGTGCTAYGGCACGAGAGTGAAAAGACATCGTTATTTCATAATTCTCCTCCCAGAGTACACCCGAGGAGAATAAATTCCAATCTCTTGTCAGTATTGAGTTGGCGGAAAATAAGAGCTAAAAATAGAAAGTTGGAGATGTGTTTAAGTTAAAAAGTTTCAGGGAAATCGTTGCATTTGTTAACTGTGTTGCATTAATTCTACATATAAAAGTCCGAAAATGGCTAGTAAATAAACTCACCGCTTTTCAGCATTCCTCAGTCTCTTTAATCGGAGAAACTGAAATAATTTGCAGTGTTGGATTCACTAAAAGCTGGAGGATCACGCACGGTTAAAGACATAATAATATTCTCTTTATAAGGGGAGGCAAAACGTTAATTCCATTTGCAGTACAGGCAATAGGTAAAAGTCGCAGCTCTACTGATATTCCCAGCAGTGTAGAGAGTCACCAGCCATATCCATTTCAATAACACAGGCCTGGGAGAAGGAAGATTTGCTAGACAAATACTGGTGTTTTACCAAGTTATTTCTACACAATCYTGAGGCTAAACCTGCACATCGGAAGCCTGCATGGCAGGGTACGCTGTGAATAGCCTCTCCTTTTTTGTATTACTCTTAAAATACCTTTTCATAGTAAAATTATTTTCAGTTTTAGACCACTCAGGTGTCTGAGTTTGTAGTTTTAACCCCAGAAAACAGTATGCTGAGTATTTGGTAAGAGCCTAATGGTCTCTGTCTTTGCTAGATACATTTATTTTCTTTCATTCTTTCTTGTGTGTAAAACCCTTTTGTATTATTTTAAGATTCTATAAAAAGTATTTTTACAAAAGAAGACAGACCACAGCATGTCACCGAAATGCTTTTTTCCCTTCTTTTTTTCCTCGTTTTGATGCATATCAACTGTTATCTCAGTCCCACTACTCCCCACCCCAAAGGCATTTTTTCAATTAGCGAAGTAATATCCCTTATGTAAAGCTTAATGGGAAAAAAAAAGATGCTATTTATACATCAAGCGGGGCTGCTAATTTAGGCTAGCAAATGGTTTGTAATCTGCCATTGGCCTTGGTGTAGTCAAATCATCTTCAGGAAAAGAGGTCATAAATAAGAAGTGCTTAAGTGCTAATTTTAGGGGGTGTAACTAGTTTCTACAAGAGTTACAACATCTAAATTGAGACGGTGTTTGTCCTCCTTGTGCCAGCTACCCGAGGGAAAGGACGGAGGCCGCAAGGCAGGAGGGGGCTCGGAGCCAGAGCCCCGGCCTTTCCTTTGGCCCAGGCTCCCAACTGCGAGTTTTAATGTTCCCTGCCCTCCCTCTGACCAGCACATTCAGTTCTGCTTCTGTTCCGAGCACTTCAGTTTTCCCTTTAATTTTATATCTGTTTCTGTACTGCTGTTTCATGCGTTTGCCTATGTGGCAAATACTTTTTAAAAGCAGCCAAGTGAAGCGCTGTGTAATGGCAGTGGGACCGGCCTGGTGCCAGAACRTAGGTGCCGCCTGTTAGGCCCGCATCCACAGCGCCCGCTTTGCCTCCCGCATTCCCCCGGGCACCAGGGGCTAGCCGGGAATCCCGCAGGAAACAATGGAGTAATTCCCTCTCCTCATCCGCACTGCACTACAGAAAAGTCCTCAAAAAAGGTCACGGTTTTGGTTAGAACGATAACAAGAAAACCGAGGTGCTGCTTAAAGGAGAGCTAARGGAACTTAGTTTTGCAGTGGTCACCACAGAAATACTCATTTGTTTTACATTATATTGGAAGTAGGAAAGCAGACGTTAGTGGTGATTCATTGTGCTTAGCCTGATACTTCCAAATCAAATAACTAGCCCGCTATAACCCTATTTATCTACTCTATAACTAGCAATGTAAGGGTGTTTTTATCCCTTCCCTGCTCACACACAATAAAGCAAATATCGATTCTGGGGTCACTCTTAAAAAAAAATATATAAAAGGCATTACTAACAACTCTTATTTAATGCATCGGTTTTAAAATGTTCATCTTTATTAACAATTAACGTGCTGCTTGGAATGGTTTGGGCTTGCAGAGCAGCGCGAGCAGCTTTGGGTCTCAGTTTGCTGCACGCAGGCGCCGCCGCGTCTCCCGGCCGGAGCTGAAGCCTCCGCCCTTGCTCTTTCCACAGGCGACATACGCAACGACTTGTACCTCACCTTGGAAAAGGGCGACTTCGAGCGGGGTGGCAAGAGCGTGCAGAAGAACATCGAGGTCACCATGTACGTTCTSTACGCCGACGGAGAAATCCTGAAGGTAAAACCCTTTCCTCCCTCCAACAACAAGGGGTCTGGACTGAGCACTGAAGTGCTCGTGCATCAAACTCGTTGTCAGCATCTGCTTTTTGAATGGAAAGGGAGACAAATTTTCCTTTTTGCTTGTGATTTAATTAGAAATTAAGCAGCTCTTCGGCAAAGCAGTGGCTTGTGCTCGGAGCTGTTGCGGAAAGGGCACAACCCCTTTCCGTTTCATTGAATTAGACGGGCCTCTCAAATGAGTGATGCGGTTTTAAGCGCTACTTTATTTCACAACAGGCTGCCCAGGACCCTTGTAGGTCTTTTTCCCTTCAAAATGCAGGAGGAGAATCTTGAAATGCTCGTGTTAGCGGGGGCTGTTGATGCTGTGGCTCAGGAGTGAATATTAAAAACCACATAATTTGTAGACTCTCAGTCTTAACTCTGTTTTCAGTTGGAGAAGTCATTTACAAACAGTAACTTTTAATTGACTCATCTCCTATAAAGATAGTGGTTAACAGGTAAGGACTGAAAAATGGAAGGTTTATCTCAGACATTAAAAACTGAATTCTCTTTTAACTTGGATTCCTTCTAGCTGCTTGGGTACATTTGTGTTGTCTCTTACTGCGGGAGAGAACTAGACAACTAACCTATAAGACGAAATGATTTGAATTGCATGTAGAGACCTAATTCCAAAGTGCTAAATGTCAGTGTGGAGGAATCATCCCATGCACATTAAAACAAAAAAAAAGCCTGTATGTAGAATTAAGCTTGGAGACTAATTATGTCTCATCCGTTTCCATYACTGCCACAGCTTCTCCTCGGTGGAAAAATCCTGCACATTCCTCTGCTGTAGTCGAAGCAAATGGCAGCAGCTGCCTGAGGTTGCTTTTAGCTCCTTGGGGTTACTTGCCATTCATATCCTTGGCATTGTAGGAGACAGGTGATCTTATTAAGTGTCTCTTCCTGCTCTACGTCTATAGAAATGCCCTGGAAAGGATAGCTGTTCAGCTCCCTGAACCAAAGGTTTTGGCTTTGAGCCACATTTCAGCCAACATTGGAATAAAATCTCTAAACTCCTCCTGACAGCACAATCCAAACCTGAATTAGAACCTCGGAGGGAGCTTAGTGGAACCGTGCTCAGTGCTGAGAATATTGTCTCATAGTATCTCACATCCTCACTGCTGTTGAGTGTATTTCTTGGTCCAGGTATGGTCCTACTGAATGCAGCAGAATTCTTTCCAGAATACTCTGCTGTATCAAATGAAAATGAGCATTTCCTTTTCAAAATGTTCTTATTCAATTATAATAATCATTCAGTCAGGTTCTGAAAAGCAGAATGCATTTCTCTTGTATTCTCYTTGCCCAGGTAGCAGGAACATTTCATTCACTGCAGAGCATACCTTACATGATAAAACTATTACTCTGACCCTTTTTCTAGTTTCCCTTACTTGCCTGCACCATCTAATTTACCTGCATATTTTAGTCTYGTGGTAACTGAATCTATAGAGTTGCATATTTGCCTTTTGCATTTTCTAAAAGATGGGAATTCATGATGTTCTTCATCTCTGTGCTGGATAAAACATAGATTGGACAATATCTGAGCTTTCTGTAGCCAGAAATAGAAATTTTAGATATATCGGTGTTTTCATTTAATAAAAATTCTTTGCTTACCAAGAATGGAACAACTCGATCTGAATTTTCTGGGGGTGCTGGAGCAATGGCCCTTGGCTCTGAGGCTCCTTGCCTGTGGGTACTGAAGACCGACACTTGTAAGAGCTTCGAAAGCTGGGGTATCATTTCTGCCCTGAGATGCTGGAGCAGAAATCTGATTAAATGGTATTTTCAGAGAAGTCCAGTATGACAAATGATGTGTTCAGCTCACTTTTTTTAGTAGTACTCACCTGCTTATTAAGTATACCCTGTGCATGATGGAAAACTAAAATAATAACGAAGGGAAGAGAATAAATGCAAGCTGAATTCACTCAGGTCCTGTAGCTCATSCTCTGACCCAAACAGTCTCCTCAAAAATTCCCATTTCACTGCGTCTCAGTCTCTGCTGCTGACTCTCCCTGTATGTCTCCAGGAAGATGTGAAATATATAAAGGTTACCACAGGGTAATGAAATGACTCATATTCGGTGATGCCGTGTCTTTTGGTCTTAAATTGTGTTCTTTCGTGGCAGGACTGCATCAGCCTGGGCTCYGGCGAGCCGAGCCGCAGCGCCTATCACTCCTTCGTCCTCTACCACAACAACAGCCCGCGCTGGGGGGAAATCATCAAGCTGCCTATCCCCATCGACCGCTTCCGGGGCTCCCACCTCCGCTTCGAGTTCAGGCACTGCTCCAGTGAGTGCAAAACGCCTCCAAAAAGGGGAATGGTAGAGCTAAGGGCTTAAATGTTTGCATAGGGTTGTTGGTGGGAAGGGCAAGCGCAGTGCAAGTGCAGTGTTGCTGATCCTGCAGTGCAAATGAGCCTCTTGCTGCAGTTATAAAACMACACAGAAATATTAAAAACTTTGCGAGCAGTCGGTGCAGCAGTTTGCAGGTGTTCTCCCCGCTGCTCTTCTGCTGTGTTTTCTTTACAGCACAGGCCTTTTATCTTCTCCTACGGTCAGTCTGAGACACTTTGATCCCTTCCACAGACACAGCACGTTAAATCTCATTCCTTATGTGGGCTGTTGGCTACGAATGCAGAGAATTTAGTGAATAAACTTGAGGCACGGATGGGCAGGCAAAATACACAGATATCCCTTATTTGTGTCTCTTGCTGCAGCAAAAGACAAGGGAGAAAAGAAGCTCTTTGGGTTTGCGTTCACTCCGCTAATGAGGGATGACGGCACCACCTTGTCAGACGACATCCACGAGCTTTATGTCTATAAGGTACCAATTCTTCCACTGTCTCCTCATTCTTCAGACACACGCCGCAGCCTTTGACTCTTCTTACACCTCCACTTCAGCTTAAACAAATAAATGTCATTATATTACCTTCTTTCTCCTCATTAGAAACATGTGAGCAACGCACTAATAATAGCTTGAAAGTGTAAGGAACAAGCTGGCTAGGTGAAGTTTCCCTTCCTTTCCTGTGTCYGCAGTGCGACGAGAACAGCACGTTTAACAACCACGCGCTCTACCTGGGGCTGCCCTGCTGCAAGGAGGACTACAACGGCTGCCCCAACATCCCCTCCAGCCTCATCTTCCAGCGCAGCACCAAGGAGACCTTCTCCGTCTCCACGCAGCTCTCGTCCACCAAACTGACCCAGAACGGTAAGTGCCCACGTCGCCCGAGAGAACAGGCAGTGTGAAAAAGAGAGTTAAGTGGTGCAGGCTGGTGCTTGCTCTCTGATTTTACTGAAATGCTCCTTTGTTATGATTTGGTGCTATGCAAGCATCTCTTTCCTCACACTTTATACTGCAAGGAGCAGATTTCTTTTGGATAAGGAAAATAATGGCAGAGTACATGCCAGAGTTGTGTAYGTGCAAGCAAGATGTTAAAGCAGTGTTAATTCTAATAACATTTCCAAGCACAAAACAGAATCCAAAGTTAGCACTTTGATGCAATCCCATGTTTGTTTTGTTAGGTTTTTACAGAGCTGCTAAGTAAATCAGACCTCGTTGCTTCAAGCTCCCTAAGGAACGGGAAGCGATAAGGGGGTTGTCCACTTTTCTTTGTGGTTTTGTTTTCCAGAAACAAGAAAATTTCACAGTGTAATGAATTCCTGATCCCTCCAGGGCTGTAGCTTTTCCCCTGTACCAAGCTAGCTGCTCTGCGGTGTTTTTAACTTGCTAGCTCCATGTGTCATGGGAGAGATCCCTGATCTAGTGCTAGACTTTTCATTACTTTATATCGTGGTTCATTTTACTGTATGTGTTAGGATCAGGGCTTAATTTATAGCTGGAGTTCCAAGTATATGATGAAAATTGAAACCCTGAGTTATTTCATGTATGGTGTTCGTTGTACTGAACCGCAAGTACTTTGGCCACCCATCCCTTGATGTCTTGACATTGGCTTGACAATGAATCTTTAGTGCACTCCTCTCCTTGACTATTCCGCAGTGGATTTGCTCGCCCTCCTGAAATGGAAGGCTTACCCGGATCGTGTGATGGATATCCTGGGAAGACTGAGGCACGTCAGTGGCGAGGAAATCGTTAAGGTATTAAATCAAATGACAGTCTTTGGATGCCTGCGATGGTTGGCATCCAGAGAGAGGGGAATAGATCTAACTCGGATAAAACCAGCTGTTCCAAACGGGTAGCAGAGCTGCTCTATATCTCTATTTTGCAAATATGTTCTACAGGTAGCAGAGCTGCTCTGTATCTCTATTTTGCAAATATGTTCCAAACCTTCTGCATAGAGCGCAGCCCAGTGTGAAGCCTTGAAAGTTGTTTTTCGCTCAGTAAGGCCCATGGCCCATCCTGCCAACTCCTTTTCATGCCCCAGCCCTGGGAAATGAAGCTGTTGCCAAGTGTGCCAATTGCTGTCTGCCTTGTCAGGAATTACCTCTTAGCGAGTAATTTGATTACATTTCGTAGCAGCACTCGCTCTATATGTTGGGCCTTTATGCGAGCCAGGCTTCCTTATCTCAAAGGAACCTCAAAATGCATTTGAATAGTTGCGGTCTTGGCAAAACTGGCGTGTTCCAGATGCAGAGCCAACACCAGCAATCCCTCAGACAGTTTTTAGGAGATAAAAGGAGATAATTTATGTAACAGCAAGCAAACAAAGATAAACCAAACAAAAAATCCGCCACTTGGTTTGTTATTTATGATTGCAGCCACTTCATTGTAACTCCTGTGAAAGCTGCCAGCGCTTGAATTTTAGCTTGCATTATATTTTTTTTGCAACAGTAGCACAGGAGGAAACTCCCCTGCTCCCTGTATTTGAATCTTTCATGAATTTCACATTTTGTGCACTTGGTTTGTAAGGCAATACAAACACCTGATATATGGAGAGAAAACAAAGATTATTCCAAGGAGAAAGGGTAATAGATGCTCTCACCAGATTGGCTGCCATTCATCACAGGGATGAGAGGAATGGAAAGGAATAACTTAGGCAAAAGAAATATATTGTCCTTTTGTGTGTGTGTGTATACATATGCATATATGTGTATATATGTGTATATATATGTATATATGTGTGTATATATATGTGTATATATGTATACATATATATATGTATACACACACACATATATAAAATGTTATATATTTACAAACAGTGTTACAGATCACAGATTTGGAGTGCTAATTTCTGCTTTGTYTCTGGAAAATGTTTCAGGAAGGTATTCACATGTATGACGAGGTTCAAGGAGGGAGGATGATCCACCTTTGAATATAGTTGCATTTGAAACTCGTGGCTTATTCTTGTCTCTTTAGTTCCTACAGGACATTCTCGACACGTTGTTTGTAGTTTTGGATGACAACACAGAAAAATAYGGGCTGCTGGTCTTTCAGTCTCTGGTAAGCTGCTGAGCTGTCGCCTTCCTTTATTGTATTTTTAATTTCTTAGTGCCATTTCACCCGTATTTTGCTTCCGCAAAGYATGAAATACTCCACTCTATCCAGGCTCATGTTTTTTTGTAATAAACTACAYGCAACAGATGTAGGCAGAACCATATTTGCTGTCACTTGGGAGAAGGGAACAATAACATCCACTAACAGAGCTTTTGGCTGCTTATAGAAGCTCGTGAATCTTCTTGTTCCTTAGCTTGCACAGCTTGTTTATAGGACCCCCGTGCCTGTGTGCAATTTGTTTTACCAGGGCTTGGCTTTTTCCTCTCCCACAGGTGTTCATCATTAATCTGCTCCGTGACAGCAAGTATTTTCATTTTCGACCTGTGATGGACACTTATATTCAGAAGCACTTTGCAGGAGCACTGGCTTACAAGTAGGTTATGTTTATCCATCACTTCCAGACATGGTATTTTCAAGCTCTCATTGATGTGACCACCAGAATCATAACTGTTACATTAGCAGAGCTGGTTTTCAAAAGCAGAACTACCTGGAGAAGAGTTTTCCAGCACGGATAAAAAGCTGCTGCGTTTTCTTGTTTCTAGCAGTGAGCAGACTTTGGATTTTATCTGGACTATTTCTGAATTTATTTTCTTTCTGATCTGCTCACTTGGAGAGCTGAAATTTTTTAGCCAAAAAAAAAAAAGAATATGATTTGGTGTTGGAATGTTCCTGGTAGCCCTTATCCAAGTTATCTCTTTATGAACATCTTTTTGATGTTCTTTCATGATACAAGTCAATTAAAGAGAATAAATCTTTGCTGGTTTGAAATTTAAATAAATGGCTATACCATATAAATTCAGCAGCTAGCACGGTTCCAGCTAATCACTGAAACGGAGTCACATAAGACTCCAGCTTCTTGAATCCTCCCTAAAACCAAAGCGCGTGTTGCTCGCCTGATCTGAAGAGGATGCTGAAGGTTTCTCTCCTTCCCTGTGTGCTCTGTTCAGAGAACTGATCCGGTGTTTGAAGTGGTACATGGACCGCTCGGCGGAGCTCGTGCGGCAGGACCACATCCAGGAGGCAATGCGAGTACGTACCCAGCACCAGGGTGGCGGCTCGGTTGGGCGGGTGACTCCAACGGCTCTCGAGAGGCTGGGAAGAAAATGAAGTGTAGTCAACTCTTTAAAAGCTGTTACACTTTTAAAAGATTAATTAAGGTGGTGTTTTTTCTGTCAGATCAGGTGTTCTGTATTCACAGAACCATGTGCGGAGCACAGGGCACAGGCTGCATCCAGGTGGGTTTTGAAGATCTCCAGAGAAGGAGACTCCCCAACCTGTCTGGGCAGCCTGTGCCAGGGCTCTGGCACCCTCACTGCCAAGGAATTTTTTTCCTTAAGTTCCTGTGGAGCTTTTGGTGCTTCAGTTTGTGGCCGTTTCCTGTTGAACTACCGCTGGCCACCACAGGAACCATCCAGCAACACAGGCTGCTGTTTCCCATGAAGTTCTGTGGTGAAAGGAAGCTTCACTGGGAGAGGCTTTCCTACAGAAATATAATGTATGGCCAGATTGCCAGTGCTGCCATGATTCCTCAAAAAAATATCACTTTAAATATCACTGGGGTTTTGAAAACCAAGATGGGCTTATGAGGAGTTTCACATTCTTTGTTTTCTTTTGTGTGTGTGTGTCCTTAAAGCCGTAAAGTTTTAAGACTTAGGTCAGACATTACGTATCCATACATTATATGGTGCTTTGATAAGAGCTGGTGTCTGGAATGAAAAAACACATCACGAGGACAAAAGTTGTCCTCCCAATTGAGCTTCCAAAGGGCGAAGCAGAGGAGCAGGCAGCAGCCAGCGCGGTGCAACGTTCCAAACGTTCCTGTTTCCTGATACTGTGTCTTGGTGCTGCAGCCTGACGTTGGTCCCTTGGGTGGGATTATGAGGGGGTCATCACACTCCCCATGGTGTCAGCCCTTAATGTGCCTTAATGGCATCTCTCTTGAAACACYAAGGTGAAGAGTAAAGGCCAGACAATTCTGATGGGAAGTGCACACACCGAATAATGGGAAAGGYCTTGGTGCCACGTGGGATATTACTYTGCTGTAACAGCAGCTGTGACGTCTGTGAGGACCTTGGTTATGATGGCAAATGCTGCATAGGACAATATGCATTTCCTCACCAACGCTGCTGCCAACTGAACGGTGATGCATTAACATGTCTTCTGCAGACTGGAGTCCTGACTAACACCAGTTGCAAAATGCTGGTTCCAGGGRTTTAGTTGGCCAATTCAGACTTCCAGACGGGCTCCAGAGCTCACTTGCTTTCCTCTACGAAGCGACCCACTGTGGCAGCACTTCAGCAGCCACCACACTGTGCAATGGTGTTAAATGCCATCCTCTGTGGAGGTCGTGCTGCTGCTGCTGGGGACCTTCCARTTCTCCTGTCTGAAGATTTAAAAAATGCAGAACTCCTTAACTTACCTAGCTGGAAGTAAAGAGATGGTGCTTGCTACTGCTTTGGGCTGCCAGGGGGTTTCACGTGCAGCTCTTCTATTTCCACATTATCTCCATTAGCACATGTCCTTGCAAGGAATAAGGGGCAGCCGTGCCATAGTGTTGATACTGGAGGGTAGATATCCCTTTTCCAGGTAAACCTTCTCCTGTTCCCCAGGCTACCCCTCTGCCTTAATCCAGGTAAYGAACTCAGGGGATTCAAGGAGACACCCACATGCAAACAAGGAAGGTCGTTTATTCAGAGCCTTTTRGTCAGTTTGGCAATTGTTCACCAAGTTTTTCTCATTATTTATGCGACTCAAGTTTGTGTATTTAAATTAAAAACATACTCTTTCTGTAGCAGGACGTATCAGTAACAAAGATATTAGTTATAAAGAAATACTTGCTTATGAGTAGCTCCTCCTTAACTGAATTATATAACTTACAAAACCTGTTTTTTTTCTTTTTCTTTACTAAAGCTGCAGAATTCAGCTGTTGCGCACCTCGGATCTTTTCTGGTTCTCTGTAAAGCTGCTTGTTTTTCTTTCTGTCTTTCTCTCTGTCTTAATCTTCTTCCTCTCCTGCTCCTTAAGGCCTTGGAATATCTTTTCAAGTTCATTGTCCAATCTCGGATCCTTTACTCCAGAGCTACTTGCGGGATGGAGGAGGAACAGTTCCGCTCCAGCATCCAGGAGCTTTTCCAGTCCATCAGATTTGTGCTCAGCTTGGACAGCAGGAGCTCGGAGACTCTCATCTTCACACAGGTTGGCTGTTTTCTACACTTCACTTAGTTCACTTAGCAAACCTAGAGGCAGCGCTTCCCTGCACGAGCAGTGTTTGTGCCTATGATGATTAAGTGCAGCTTAAGAGAATTTTCTCTACCAAGCTGCTAATACAGAAAAATTAGAGTTGGTTAATATTATTATCCAGTAGCTCTGCACCAGCTCACAGAAACACAAGTGCTGAACTGTTTATTCTCAAGAAAAAAATGGCTTAGTTGTCCCATCAGATGCAATTTTTTGCTCTCTTTAAAAGTCAACTTTATCGTCACATCCTTCATGAACGAGCAAGGCTTGAGGCTGCTCCAAAGAAACGTTYGGTAGCCGCTCGAGCGGCAGCTCCCATCAATGCACAGAGTCACAGCAACCTTCCAGTAGAGTTGACCTGACCTGCTGCCAATCAGAAAAAAAACTCCAATGACTTCAGTGAGGCTTCGTGTGGGCTTAAGATACAGAGTAAGGTTGTTCCTCGGTTTGGTTCCTTGTTTTAAGGACCACTGTTGTAAATTATAATCTTCTGTGTTTTTAAATTTTAAGTAGTAATGTCACAGGCTGGGTGYATATGTTTCACCTTGGAAAATTATGGGTGATGGCCCACCTAGAACGTGCTAGCAGTAGGAAAATGATCAGTAATCCCAAATTGTACCAAGGTAGTTTGAACATATTCCTAGGGTGATTTGTCAGAGGCAGTTGCTATAAACGTCACAGCAAAGTGGAGCTGTTCCAGCAGCTAGGGAAGCAGCTGCAATACGGGCCCTTTCTCAGGTAAGGAGCTCCAAAAGCTGTTGAGAATGGGAGCTCTGATCTTTGATGTAATCACCCATTAGTGGGTGTAGGAATATGCACGAGGAACACGAGGAGTCCCTTCTGCAGGCCAAGGGACAGCGCGGGGAAGTGGCGCCTTGTGAGCTCTATCTCAGGCTCTATTTATTTTTGCTTGTGACAGTCGCAGGTATAGAAGGAGGTTAGATTTGAGGATGAGGTTGTGCTCGCTTTTTTTCTCTTTCTCTTTTTTTTTTTTTTTTAATTTTATTATTTTTTTGCTTTACTTTGGCTACTTTCTGGCTTGCTCTCTTTACTTCYGAGTGTACTGATTTGTTTAATCTTTGAAAAGTTTGCTTTTTGTTCTCCCCCGTGCCACTGTGTCGCCCCTCGATCCCCCTTGCCCCATAGGCGCCTCAGCCCGGAGGGCAGGCGAGCGGAGCCGGGACTTGTGCCCCACAAAAGGGTGGCGGGGCCTCGAGGCCGACATTTAACCCTGTAAGTAACGATCCCCCCAACTGCACAAGTGTCTGCTCGTGGATGTTGCCGGGGACTCTCTTTTTTCCTGCCCCAATCTGTCTTTTCCCGCACACAGGCTGGAATCGAATGTGGAAGTGGCTGGCAGTTTAACCCAGGGAATGGGAAATACTGCAGGAAAGAGCAGGGCTGCTTAGGACATCAGCACACTGAAATAATATGGTGTTAAGGGTATTCCCAAGGCTTACCTAAATGAGCTTGTTCAGGAGATCTGAGGAGAGAGTGTTCCAGCTCTGGAAACCTACAGAACTTGGAATTAAATTCTAATTAAATTAGAGTTACATGAAAATAGAATTAAACATCTACAGGACTGCTTTAGCGGCATCAAGATAGTCAAAGGCAAAGGCTGTTAAAAGTCCCAGAGTCAAAGGTGAAGGTGATGGATGGAAATGCAGCTCCCGCAGCCTACCAAGAGGCCGGGAGCTCTTTCAAACAATTCCCCTCTGTTGATTTTGCTAATGCATTATTTGTGTGTAGCGACTAATAGATGGCGGCCCCCAGGAGATTGTGTGGGTTGGTGTGTGATCTAAATAGATTGTGACAAGGCRAGATGCTGAGAGAGGTGACAAGGAAGAAGAATAAAGAGGTAACGTTATATTGAGACTGACTTACTGGGCTCTGCAGTGTTTGCCATGTTAGCTGTAAGCACAGGTTGTATTTTATTGCTAAGGGGCTATGAAATGGCCATGGTTTTGGAAGGGAAAGCTAACTTGAGGAAACTCATGGAAGCTGTGTGTTATATATGGGATTAGGAAAGACATGTCAAGTGTGAGAGCCAACATGGGAAAAGAACCAAAATGTTTGGAGTGAGAAAGCAAAAAATCTGTGAAGAAAGGTGGGGATTGAAGAGTGCAGTGATGGGGGGCAAACTGAGGCATGCTCCGAGGTTTAGTAGATTTGAACTATTGCAACTACTGCGCCAAGTTGGTGCGGATTCCTGTTTGGAAACGAGGACCTTGGGCAGGATGTGCAGGAAGAAAAAGAAGGATTTTAAAGCATCCTGTCTCTGAAGCGAGTGGCATCTGTTAGGTCGGGCACCAGGCCTAAGCTGGGAATGATGCATGGAATTCCCAYGCATCTTTAAGGATGGGAAGGCGTGTGAGGGTAGCAGCAGCTCCCGGGAAATGGCCTGTGTGGCCAGGGCCACGTGCACTCACACGACGTGGACTCACTGTCCTAGAAGTGCTGCAGCCGCACGCGGCAGCGCCGCGGTGGGGAAGGGTCTGCCAGCAGCTTCTCACAAGTGCTCTGAGAAGAGGTTCCGCTCTCTTTAGCCACTTAGTGCAAGAATTTATCTAGAACTCTCTAATCAGAAGCACGCTTTGCATTTTACTTAAGAGATTAAGCTGGCAAAAATGGACTTTTTTTCTTTTCTTCTCTACCTGAAGCCTTTCCTGCCTTTAAAACATCACTTGGTAAGATGTGGCCTAAAAGAAAGCCTTTTCAAGCTTGCTGGTAACTATGTGCTCAGCTTATCACGTGATTTAATGTTGCAACCGAGTTTGGGTTTTSATCTGGATTATTATTTCCTACTATGCTACACTGCTGCTTTTCCGGGTACCTCAGGCCTTACAAACAGCACCAGCCGTAGCGCGACAGTCGGCAGCTTCCTGCAGCCCCTCCACTGAGGTCCCCTGTTGTCCCGTCCCCCGTGCCGGCCTTGGCGCAGGAGGTGGCACCTTCAGAGTGTCCCCGCTGTCCCTTCGCAGGCCGCCCTGCTCAACTCCTTCCCCGCCATCTTCGACGAGCTGCTGCAGATGTTCACGGTGCAGGAGGTGGCGGAGTTTGTGCGGGGCACGCTGGGCAGCATGCCCAGCACGGTGCACATYGGGCAGTCCATGGACGTGGTGAAGCTGCAGTCCATCGCGCGCACCGTCGACAGCCGCCTCTTCTCCTTCTCAGGTAGGGCGGCCGTGAACGGCTCTTGCAAACTTAGTGCTGAGCACCAAGAATCCTGGAAATTATTTGCCTTGCTGCCGTCGTGGTCCYGTGCATCCACTATGGGTGTTTCATTACCAACTTTTCTAGTTAATAAATCTATCAGGAAAAAAATTAGTTCCCAAAGGTTGAAAAAAAATATGCACATAAGCAAATGAAAGCAATTATTAGAATTATTCAGTCTCACTTGATACTTAATATTGCACTTGTGCTGTTTATTAGTTGTTTGCAAAGGCATGGGTATAAAGATATCCTCCTTCCTGGCAACTTTATAGTCTCGGAAGTGAGGCAAAGCTAAAATCACATGTGCAACACGCAGCGTCATGCAAAGATGTATTTAATGTTTGCAGGATGATTTTAATATCTACATGGCTCAACTTATTAGTAATTCTTTAGAGTGGATTGAAGGAAGAAGGGTGGAGGTGTGGGAGGTTTTTTGTGCCTGAAGGTCTGAATGGAGAAGGCTGTGCAGATACTAGATGATGTAAAGCAGCATCGGGCTTCTCTTCCATGTCATGAGGATCCTAATCTAGTGCATTCAAATTATCCTGCTCAATTCAAGGTGAAGATGATCGTAACGCAAAACCACACTTAAGCTGCTGAGTGTAATTATTTATAAACATCCTTTTTTTTTCTTTTTTTTTTGTAATTTGATCTTGCATTTCATAAAACCAAGGAAGGGAGAGCAGGGTATGGGTAGATTTGTCCGAAGGTGGTTGTGCCGTATTTGTCCTCGCGGCTTCCACGCCACAGACAGGTGAGCAGAGCTGCTCTATGTTCTTAATATCCTCTCCTCTTCTGCCTTCTTCATAAAGCCAAGTGCAGCTTCACGCACAGGGTCAAGGGCCTCCCACTGACCTTCCTTTCTCCTCCGCGACGCTGCCGGCATCGCTGATGAGCAGCAGGCGCCTCCTCGCGCCGCGCTGCCCCGTCCTGCCCTCTCCCGTGCCCTGCTGCAGGGCCATGACCAACACTTACCTCCCCTGCCAACTGGGAGCAGCTCTTCCTATCAGGAACATAAATGTAGCGCTCAAAGGCATCCCGTGCCTGCCCGTCCGTGCATTTGAAGAGAAGCCTCTTCTGCTTTCCTGCCTGGTGATGTCTTGTTTTGTGTGGATGCGGTGCCACTGACACTTGCAGGGTCTGGCCACTGTTTTCTGCACGTGCTGCCTATTCGAGAACTGGTCTCCCCAGCCCAGAGACGCCAGCCAGCAGGAGGTCATGAAGTTATTAGGAGGAATTTCTACCAAAAGAGCAGCATATGGAGCCAAATCTACATTGGTGCTGCCTCCCGGCTGTTAGAAACTCTTCCTACTGTGCTAAGRTGCAAGTTGTGTAAAGTGGATAAAAGAGAGGAATTAACGAAATTCCCGAGTTGGGAAAAAGAGCGAAGGAGCTTTATGAGCTGTGGCAGAAATGCCAGAAGGCACCGCAAGTTTAGGAAAGGTCTGTGCAAGGGGGAGTTGACATGAGTAACTCTGAATCCCCCTTTTCCCTGTTTCAGAGTCCCGGCGCATCCTGCTGCCCGTGGTTCTTCACCACATTCACCTTCACTTGCGACAGCAGAAGGAGCTCCTCATCTGCTCTGGGATCCTCAGCAGTATTTTCTCTATAATCAAGACCAGCTCTTTGGTAATCTTGTGCTTGACTTTTTAATTTCACCGCCAAATTAGTAAACTGAGGACTGAGGGATTTTAATCGGTTAATGCGGGTTTTTGGAAGACCCTTTTGAAAACAAAATTCTGCTAATTCCCCATCAGCTGGAGAGCATGGAAACGAGTGTCTGCTCTTGTGTGTGTGTGACTCAGAGCCCTCTGAYTACACAGTGTTCTTGCTGTTAGGACGGGGGGAAGAGCACACGCATTTACCAGGTTTGACAYTGTGGAATTTTCTTCATCCAAGCCCCAAACTTAGATGTCACTGGAGTTCAGAAGCCCTCAGCTCTAGAACTTGTAGTTCCACAACAGACAGTAACTAGCGCTTTATGATTCATGATAAGAGATTACTCTAGAATTATCCAATCAATGAAATTACACGTACTTTCAGAAACTGCTCCTGAGTTAAACGCCYGGCTTTGACTATCATAACACTCCAATCTTCAGTGTTAAGTTGATGGTTTAAAGCAAAGCTCCTGAACAGGGGGTGCTGATTGTCCAGAACTGACTCTCACAGTGGTGCCAAATATAAATGACGTCAGTGAGCGTTTCCARTTACAGTTTACAGATTGGTGTGAAAGGGATGGGTAGCAAGGTAGCACGATGCCAAGCAAGCATAGTGCTGCCGTAGAAGAAAAGCTGCTGAAGGCAATTTGATCCCACTAGAGTGTGTGCAGATGCTTTGGGCGGTGATGCTGAGTGTTTGCATCAGAAAGGGAGGAGATGGAGAAGGGCCCAACACGTAGGGATCGCAGCAGTGTCTCGTAACCATGCTAGGTTTTACCCTGCTTCTTGGAAGCTGTGCTATAAAGTTCTCCATTTGCTCTCTGCAAGGTTCATCGCAGCGTGCGTTGGTCGTGTGGTTGGTCCTGCGGGTTGACCTGGCCGCCCGCGGGCTCGCCGCGCCGTCGCTAACTGTCTGTTTGCTCCCCGCCTGCTGCAGGAGGGTGATGTCGTGGAGGAGGTTGAGATGATGGTGGAGAGCCTCCTGGATGTGCTTTTACAAACTCTGCTTACAATCATGAGTAAATCGCAGTCTCAGGAGGCGGTAAGAGGGCAGCGTTGCCCGCAGTGCACAGCAGAAATCACTGTTAGTAACTAACAATCAGTTTCTATATCCCGCTTCTCTAACCTTTGGTTCCGTCCCTCACCACCACCTGCACCTCACTGTCATGAAGCTGCATGGCTCCCCGGGATTTGTTCCTTCACCTTGTAAAGCCCCGACCCCATCCTTCCTCTGCGCGGCACTGGGGCCTGGGAAGCTATCATGGATCCCCAGGCTCTTTCCTTGGATTGCCTTTGCACTTATGCTCAAAAATTGCTCTATATTTATCAAAGCACATGCCAACTGGGTGGCCACCTGGGGCTCCCCCTCTAAAGAGGAGTCCCTGGTGGCCGCGTGAGCACTGGGCTCCGATCCCTGTGACTGGGAATGCAAGAATCACCAGTGGAAAAGTCCCCTTGCTTAACAGGCTGCGTCACTTCCACTGATTGCTTGGTGCAACTGAAACACAGCAGGTTTTTGGAAAAGAAACAAACTGAGCCTAGGACAATTCAACGGCTGAGCTGGCTTGGAGAAGAAGAAAAAGCCGCTTCTTAGCTTATGAGGCTGGCATCTATACAAAGGGGGCACAGGGCTTTCCCTCGGCATGCGGTGGAAAAGCAGCAGCAGGGTAGAACAGCTGTCCTAGCCTTTTCCTAAAATTGTTGCCCTTTCTTGTTTAGCTAAGTCTGGTTTTGCTGGACTCGGCTTTTGCACCACACTTGATGCCAAGCTGTTGTGCAGAGCATCCTCTCTGTCCCAGACTGACTTTCTTATCAGATGGCTGAGGCCTCACAGCCTGATTTTGCAAACCCCGTTGCCGCAGAGGAAGAGCCTCGTGTGGGGACTGGGAGGCCAAAGCGCAAGCCCGGCTCTTTGCTCCCGCCTTGCTCACCTCCTCTGTGCTCCCCTTCCAGATGTATAGGAGCGGGGAGCTCCCCCTTGGAAAGCACTTGGGGATGCTGTGGGAACTGGATAGGGGACATTGACACTGCAGGGCAAAAGTTAAGTTGTCACTTGGGTTTATCCAAGCTACGCTCATGGGACTGTCCTGGAAACGATGCTGGTATCACAGGTGTGACAGTGCGTGATTCACTGGGCACCAATATGAAACACGYGATTCCCGACACCTTTTCTGTAGCCTGTGCTCATCCCGTGCTGCCATAACTCAGTATCTGAGCCAATTAGCTTAAATCACCCCGGGTAGGTCTGCAAAACCCCTGGTAGGCACAGGACGTTGTGCCTAAAGCAAGGATGTGGCTAACGGAAACTCCACTCCCAAAGGGAGATTCATTAGTATCTGTATTCATTGCTTAAATGACTTCTATTTAGATGACATTTGTTGACCTCTTAAAATGGCATCAGGGGAGGAGCTTCTGAGAGGTGTATTCCTATACTTATAATAATTAAAGAACTGTTGACAAGCAGTATTTTTAATCTCTGCGCATGTCAGCTTTGCTTCCATAGGCATCGGGGCCATTTCAGACCCCTCCCTCTGTCCCTTGCCCCGAGCTGATTGCTCTCGTTACGGATTTGCACRTTGTCTGAGCTAAAGGATTTCTCGTTTGGCCAACAGGGAGAATACGTGTCCTGTCTCTTATCCTTGCTCCGTCAGATGTCAGACACGCATTTCCAGCACTTACTGGACAATTTCCAAAGCAAGGATGAGCTCAAGGTAGAGCAGAACATCCTGCCTGTACCATGATTCACCCAGGAGGAGGTAGCAGAGGGGGAATCCCTTCTGCACTGTTTTCTCCACTAACCCCATTCTCTCCACTAACCCCATTTCCACTGGGCTGCCTTAGGCATAGACTAGCCTTTTCCTTTTATAATTACAGGTATTGCTTTCTAAATGCACGGGGTTCCACAGTGCACTGAGTTATTTTGGTAAAGAGCAAACAGGGATCCAACAGAGAGATGTTACTAGACACAAAAACATATTATTGTACCTTCCAGAGCATAATCTGAGGAACAGGGCTTTTAATCCAGTATGTGTAAAGTCAGCTGCCCTGCAACATGTTCCTAAACATAAGATGTGCACTGGAGCTTACTTGGGACGAGTGATGAAGTCGATCTTATGCCAAAAGATCAGAATATTTCCAGATCCCATATTTGGTAGCCTTTCCTGGGGATGCAAAACCTCCAGCAGATAAATCTTTCTTGGGAAAGTAGCAACCTTACTACTTGAGTGGCTGCACCCTTCCCAAATTTGTGAATAACAACTGAAATCACAGGTATTCCTGAGCAGAAGATGGTGCCTGAGGTGGGCAGACTCTCCAGAGGCTCTTCTGTCACTGACATTTTGAAGCTGTGCGTCTCAACACTGCAGAAACCAACTTTCCCTCTCAACTTCGATAGGAAAGAGGAGTATCTCAGATAGCAGTTTGTTTAGGAGGCAGAATAACTTCATAAAGCAAGATAAGATATTACAGAGAACCTCACTGATTGCCTACCTACCTAATAAAACAGGGACAATCCAAAGAACGTAACATAGCAGGAACTTCCATTGCCTTACCGAGCGAGGTGGAGATTACTTTTCCTTCAGATATTTTCAGTACTTCTTGTTGGATAGGAAGGCATGATTTGCACTTACCACCGTGAACATCTAAGCTGAAATGAGGCCAAAGAGCAACTAGTTCACACTCCAACATCATTTTCTCCCACCTCCATCAGGATTAAGGCGAATGGCCGGGCCATTTGGGGAATTTTTTGGAGTGCAAACATTCCACTGAATGTGTACAAGAAGTCCTTTCTGCTCCCTATTGCCATACATGGAGTTTTATGTTAACCATCTTCAAAAAACATATATAGCAGTTGAGGTGTGTTTGAGTGTGCTTTTGTTTTGCCAGATTTCCAATGTAAATGCAAAGAATTTTGCACAGATGCCTCATTATCATTATACATCAAGTAAATACTGATGCCTGTAATGTACTTGAAAATAGCAGGGAATTGACACCCGATAATATGGGAAGTCACATGGAACTAAGCACATAGGGAAGTTTTGCATCTCACTGTAAAGGTAAACAGTAAGAAAAAGTAACACCAAAAGGCAGCAGCAACCAGTTCAGCAGCAGGTGAACAGAACCATACCCCAGTGAACGTTGTATTCGTATATTCTGATTATCCTTGTGATAGATCAAGGTGAACGCACTTAGCTTAATTGTCTTGCTTATAATGAAGAAAATGCATTAATCTGCAGCTGCTGATGACGGCTTTTTTTCCCTTTTGTGCATGTGTGATAGGAATTCCTGCTGAAGATTTTCTGTGTGTTTCGGAACCTGATGAAGATGAGTGTCTTCCCTCGGGACTGGATGGTGATGAGGCTGCTCACCAGCAAGTAAGTAGAGAAGCAGCTCTGAACTGTTGACGTTCTGTGTGGAAAGTTCCTCAAAACCTGGGCCCTTAAAGCCCGTGATGCGGCCTGTTTCGTTGGGCASGGGTGCAGTGATCAAGCCAGGAGGAATTCTGGATCCCTTTCCTTCCATTTACTTACGTATTTGCTGTTCATTTTAAGTTACCCTTCGCTATTTTCATATTTTGTTTCGTTTTCTTACTTTGGTTGTGCTAAGCCCTAGGTTTTGATGCCAGAATTTGCTGGCATCTCATTGCCTTAGGTAACCAGCTATAGAACTGGGACAGGCTGACTGAGAGCAGCCGGGGTCCCTGCTGCAAGGAGGTGCCTCAGACCCCTTCCCAGGGCTCCACTGGGCTGCATGTTCTGCCAGTGCCCAGGATCCATAGAAAGTGRAAGAAGTGGCTTTCCATATTTTACTCTAAACCAAGTTTTGTAAGGAAAGAAAGRAAAATAAAATATGTAAGTTATGTTAAAAGTATGTTACCTGGTTGCCTTTGGCAGTGTCAGGGCGCATAGCAGTGCAGCTGGAAGCGCGGCTTCGATGTGAAACAGAGATGTGCTCTGATTCTTCTCATGCTGTTGTTGCCTCACCCAAGTCCTGTTTATTAACTCCTAAATTTATCACGGAGCTGGATGGCCTTTCATTTAGGTGCATTTAGCCACCTAGGAAAAAAATCCAGCAAATCTGGAATTGACAGAATATTCACAAATGTACCCGGCTGAAGCGCGGGCTGGATAAAAGAGCACTATAAGCCAAGAACTAAAATAGCTCAAGTTTTTTTGAGTTTGTGCTTTGGAAAAAAAAAAAAGAAATAGCTTTTTGCTTAAAATAGGAGAGAGATGGATATGTTCTTTCATTTCATTGTAGGTAACACTGCCTGGCCGTGCAAAAAATAGACAGGATTTAAACAAGCTTATAGAAATTCCACAGCCTACAGTAGTGATGATAGTTCTCAGTCTTGTATCACTTAGTACAAAGTATTTATACAGATAAATAAAAGATAGGTGAAAGAAAGTTGACTTTTACCTGAATTTAGCAGTGATTGCCTGAAGAAAAAATGCCTGTGTCTGCGTGTATAGTAAAATAAGCACTGCTGTTCAGAAGCGTAAACCTCTGTGATATGATTTATACTGCAGATTGAAATGTGCTTTTTTTCTTTCCTCTTTTTTTGCCTGCAGTATCATAGTTACAACAGTTCAGTACCTGTCCTCTGCACTGCACAAGAACTTCACGGAGACAGACTTTGATTTTAAAGTAAGCTTTGATACTGAGAAAATGCTGTAGCATTTTTAAAGCAGCATTAACAGTGGACAGGAGCTATGGTCTATCTTAGCTGATTATTTTTGGTTATCTGTGAGGATGGGGAAGTCAAGGATTTTAGCATCTCCCTCTGCCTGGTTCTCTGGGGTGGGAGGTGAAGCGCTGGCTACGTCCTTTGCTCTTGCTTAGTCATTTAGAGGGTCTTTCTTCCTGGCTGATTCCTTAAAACCTGGAGGAATGTGGTATCTTAGAGAGTGTTTGCTGGCTGGAAGTGGAGAGCAGCCAGACCTGGGCATTCACACGTGCACAGACACGTGTGATTGCAGCAGGAAACCAGACCAGATTATAGGCTGTCATTTGTGACATAAGGTAATCTCTGATTTTTTTTTTTTTTTTNTTTTTTTTTTTTTTTTTTTTTTTTTTTTTTTGGAGGCTTTTAGCCTAGAAAAAGAGAACAATTTAAACTTTGCAGATGTCACTAAATTTAGTCTTTTTTGAGCTTTGTGCTAAGAGGAAGGCCTAGTGGTAATACCTGTGGGGGTTTTAATTTTAGTTCTCGCCAGGTTATAAGTAGTCCTTGGGTCTCCTTAAAAATTTAGTGTATTAAAGGATAACATGTGTATTAAGTTGCATCTTGATTATGTGAAGGACCAATCTCATTTTCTTTTAAAGAAACATATGCTCTCCTGCACTTGTTTAAAACATACTCTTTGCAATGCAATGTGACAAAACCTCCTTCCTGTGCTGTAGGTGTGGAACTCCTATTTCAGCTTAGCCGTTCTGTTCATAAACCAGCCAAGCCTCCAGCTTGAAAATGCCACGCCAGCTAAGAGGAAGAAGATTCTAGATAAGTAAGAACGTGTTTTGTTGGCTTCCTAGCCCTTTCTGCTACCGCAGAATCAGACATCTTTCTCTACCACAAATCCTTGTGATTTACTGTGGGACTCAGGATGTTGCGAGTGCCTGGGAAATGAAGAAGTAGAGACTTTAATACAGTGCTCAGTGATTACTTGCGTCTTTGTGTATTCTTATGGTGGCTTTAATGTGAATTTAATTTATTTTTAACGTCACCACCTTGATGCTTTTTGTTCCATTAAGCAGTTGTCCGTCTCCTTGCTTTCAGATACGGCGATATGAGAGTGATGATGGCATATGAGCTCTTCAGCATGTGGCAGAACCTGGGTATGTCTGCCAGTTGTTTTGATTTATTCTCCAGAGCAGCACAGTGTAAGCTTGCTATTGAAGGGATGGTTAGCAAAAGGCTGTGGGTTTCCGGTGCTGAAAAGCACTGCTCTTTTGTCCTACGTCAAGGTCAGTTATGAAACTGCACATTTCATAGCAATGAGGATAGGGAGTTCTGCAGTTCTTTAAAAGTCTAAATATGCTCTGGTAAATACCACTGTCCTTTTTCTTCATAAATTGGAAGAAGAAATTTATTTATATATTTATTTATTCTCCTTGGTTAGTGTGATTTAGTCTGGTGACTTTTCACAGAAGTTGTTTGCAAGTAAAATGCACTATCAATTTTTGCTAAAGGCTTTCACAGCGAAATTCAAACTGCTTTGCCAGAGCTTTGCTAGAGGAAATCCTGATCTTTCAGTCCTTTTAAGACACAAATGCATTTCTTTCAGTATTAGTTGGTGTCTGGTATCACTCTAGAGGCTTTATCTTCTCTTAGCAATGGATAACAGATAAATAAGGTGTTTATTTACTTACAGTTACTTTGTGTTGTACAGGTGAGCATAAGATTCACTTTATCCCGGGAATGATTGGCCCCTTTCTTGGCGTTACGCTCGTCCCACAGCCAGAAGTCCGCAACATCATGATCCCAATCTTCCACGACATGATGGACTGGGAACAGAGAAAGAATGGCAACTTCAAGCAGGTGACACACTTCCCGTGCATGGGCTGTGTTCCCTTCCCCTTGTTCTGTCCATCTGCAATGCCTGGCTGAAAAGCAAGGGATCTGCAGCCCCTGCTTTGGCGCTGGTAGGGAGGGAGATGTTCTGCTACAGGTGGGTTAGCAATGAAAGGTTTTAAGTTTAGTTTGCACATCTATTATGAGAGAAAGGGAGTTCTGAAGTGCTGGGCTCTCACCTCTGCCACCAGTGTCCTTAGGTTGGGAGTCAGCCATTAAATGGGTCACACTGGGAACCCAAAAAAGACTCTAGATTGAGCGAGTTCTTGTGGTTTTTCTGATGGCAAAAAGGCACTATATAGTTAATAAATAACTTTAATAGGCTTTGGCATGGATTTTGTAGCTGTGTATGCATTGAGAGGAGGTAGCAGCTCTCCTAGGCCTGCTTATCTGCTTCTAGAGCTGGCACAGAAGTCGTTATCATTCAGTTGTCAGGTCACGCTCCGAGACTCACTTCAACTTCCCCCTGTAAAACAGAGCCTGGAAGTGCAGAGTGTAAACAGTGAAGGGTAAGTCTGGGATGCATCCCTAGTGCTGGTGCTCAGCTGCCTTTGGGGCAACCCTGGGGGCAAATACCTGCAGGAGGTGTCTTTTTTTGCCTATATTAATACCAGGGAGGGCTGTGGATTGCTGTGGAGACGGGCTCATCTGTCTCGGCATGGTTGTGGTCTCTGTTTCTGCCATGTCTTCTGTCCTGAGGCAGTTGCAGGGTTTGTTGTAAGCCTGGTCAGTGTGGCACGCTGCTTTGAATGCTGAAGTGTTTGCTGTGCAATGGAGTGCAGTGTGTTTAAAATAATAAACGTAACGTAGAGTTCAGGCCAGCAAGGGGTAAAGGCTTAGGTTTGCTTTCTTTTGTCATTTCAGTGTTCTGTTGGGTTTTTTTGAATACTAAATGGGTTGTTAGAGGATATTCAAATCCTAGACATTTATTTTCAAGCCTATTTGGACTTTGTTTTCCTCAGTATTAAATGTTTTAACAAGATCATTTATGTCAGTGAAAATCTGATGTCAGCGCAGTCTGATTCATGGGCCAAATTTGGTTTCTGTTTAATGGTTTTGGTTAAAAGATCCTCAATTCCATTTGTGCATCACTGGCTGGTTTTCCTGTACTTCTCATCTTTACTTCCTTTGCAATGGAATAGCTGAAGAACACAGGGAAACACAAACTAGGCTTGTCCTTAAATTAAAGCAGACCCATTTCAAGCTCTAGGAACCTCCTTTGTCATTAGCTTTGAAAGTAATTTTTCTACAAAACGTCAAAACTACAGGAAACTTTCTCACTGTTACATATCTTGATTTCTGCACTTGAGCCAATCTTAGGGGAATATCTGCTATCTAACTTGATAACAGGAGATATTAGGTCAAAAAACAGGCAGTGCTGATGACCTGTGTAAGGGAAGAGAAATGATACTGTTCTGACCTTTTATATAATTTGAAAAGAAAAATACATCCATAATCGCAAAGAGGCAGGATAAAACTGAGTTTAATGAGCAGATAATCTTCTAGTGTGATTTAATGGTGCCTGGATCACTGCAAATAGCTGCCTCCCACCAGCACCGTCACAGCAGACCAGTGGCRGTCGTGCAATGAATTAGCTTCTCTTCAAGGATAGTTTTTGTTGGCAGTACAGGATACAGTCTATCTGACAGATCTGCTCACAACAAATCTAAGTGATTTATTAAAAAAAAAAAAAAAAAAGAGAGAATAAACATCAGAAATACCTGTGAAGCAAAAGCAGCAGCTGCCTTGGGATGTTCAGTTAGTCTCCTGATTAGCAGAAGTGCTTGGCTGCCACACGTGACGTGTCTAACAGCTCGTTTGGTCACTAATTCCCTTCTTCCCCCAGGTGGAAGCAGAGCTGATCGACAAGCTGGACAGCCTGGTGTCGGAGGGCAAAGGTGATGAGAACTACAGGGAACTCTTCAGCCTGCTGTAAGCCCTGCCAGATTCTGTTTGCTCCACTTTGGGCAGAGTTGTTGGAATATTCGTAGTTGTGATCTGGGGAGAAATACGAGGGGTGATCCCCTTGAGAGCAAGCAGCGTAAAGGGCTCCCAGGCAGGTCTGCATGACGTGGCTCTCACGTCTGCAGTAACAACCCATCTTTGTATGTGATTCTGAAAAGAATATGTAAGAATTAGAGTTTTCCTGCGGTGAAATCTAACGCCAGGCTGCACAGGTAAGTCACTGCCAGCTTGAAAATGGATTTGCTAGAGAAGCTGCTGCCTTTTTTCTCACRTGGTGATACGTGAAACCATATGGAGCCTTCAGTGTGGTTGGAGAGACAACATAGTTAAGCATGTCAGGGCTTGCTGGAGCAAGATACTTTCCTAAACTTTGCTCTTCGCTTTTTACAGCTTTTAAAGGTGCTATTTTGAGTTGGCTCAGCAGGTGCAAGTGCTTCCTGCGGAGTCCATCCCTGCCCTGTGCCCTCCCTTTCACACCCAAATGATGGTATTTGTGAGAGTAGCGTTACAATATGACCTTCCACTTAGATTTGATTTCCAAGGGTCCTAGGACTTGCTTTGAGTTGCTCAGAGTCTAGTGAACTAAACCCGAAATCGTTTAATATTCCAGTGAGCTGCAGAGGTGAGTGATTGAGCTTAAATGATACATTCCAGATGATTTTGTAAGGCCCCTAGCAATATACAGGCAGTTCGAGACATAACCTTTGTTTCACTAGAACCATTACTACCATTTCTGCATTCACATTTGTGCGTCCATTAATTTTCAAGAACACTAAGCCTGCCCATCTGTCCTATATGCATGCTTCCATTTGTGCATATTCTTTGTATTTTTTTAACCTAGTAAGAGGAATATTCAGTATTTTGAAGATATTTGTTGCCTGAAATGTTAAGGCCACGATTGTAGCTTGTTGACTTACTTTTAGATGGCTGTGACTATGTGTATCRCAAAGAAACGCACCCTTGGCCTGAACTCCAGCCACCTTTCAGTTTGTATTTCTTGCTGCCTTTTCTTAGAACACTGTGAGCTTTGGAGAAACAAATCCCCCRAAAAGCAAAACTTGTCAGCTCTTGCTCCACAGAGAGCTGTGGAAATAGAGCTGTCCATAAATCCTGCCGTCCCGCCTGTGCTGCCGAAACGTCAGGCGGGTCCCTTGTGCATTAGGGAATGACAGGAAATCATTTCCAGTGCTGGACACATCTGTCTAGCATAGGACTAGCAAGACACCCAACAGTATTTGATCTTCCCACTATGAAACAACATAGTTCTTTGCCCAGAGCTGCAGTTTTAGGAAGTGAGCATGGAAATGCTTTCCCTACTCCCTACAAGGCAACTGCAACTAAGATTCTCCTGCACCATCTCAGTGTTGCCCTTTCAGCCTCTTCTCATTCTTTGCAAACGTCTCGGTGAGATGTTGCCTCCCTTGTTTAGTTTGCAGAGCAGAACGAGACTGCACTGATTTATGGGCACTTGAAGCAAGCCATGATGTGAGGTTGCTTGGCTGCTGAGTAGAGGTCAGAATTTATCTGGGGTGAGCAAAGGAGAGGAATTTGCTCTAGGAGGGTTTGGGCTCCAGTTGCAGCCTCTTACTGCTGATACCAGGATCTAAACTGCAGGTAATTATGTGGAAAACAGCTGTTGCCAAAAAGGTTACTTTATACATATATATACTATAAAGGTTACTATCTGTCTATATTTTTATTTTTAAATGCAATGTGAGGGGATATTTTTTCTTTTCCTGCCAATTCTGTAATTTCCTTGTCTTTGCTTCCTGCTGCCTGGAGCAGAACCCAGCTCTTTGGGCCTTATCCCAGGTAAGACAATAATGTCGGGCATTTGCTTTACGAGGGAGAAACGAAGCTGTCCACTTGCCTGCGCTGTGCCGTGTCCCCACATGCCTCACGGACRCTTCCTTCCTCCCCAAACAGCCTGCTGGAGAAGATCGAGCAGGAAACGTGGCGGGAGACAGGCATCTCTTTCGTTACGTCGGTTACTCGCCTCATGGAGCGTCTGCTTGACTACAGGTATCCAGCTACAACAGAAACACCTGCTGGGTGTAGCACACGTAGCAGTCTACACAACACTAGGACTTCATCTGGATTCTCCGTGCCCTGCTGGACCAGGGCCTTTGGGTCATGTCCCACACTCTTCACCTAGAGCCGCCAGGTTGCAGCTCTCTTCACCCAAGGAGGAGTCTTCTCACACATAAGCTGGTGACTCAGATGTGCAAGACCCCACTCTAAACGAGGTCTTATTCGTTTGGCAAATTAGAGCTTTGATTTAGTTGCAGGGAAACATTCTACCTTTGAATGGATAATATATGCAGAGTTGATTTATTGGAGTAAAAGAGAATTTGAACCTACAGTGAACTCTTCCATATATTTCCACCCCTAGACAGCCAATAACAGTTGAAATAATAATGGTTTATTCTTGTAGTGCTCATTCTAGGTGACAGCCTATGGCCAGACTGTGGTTTTGGCAATGCCATTTTTTTTTCGGTTGTCTCGTTTCCTCTTATTGTTACTTGCTTGATAAATCTCCTGTTTCTTTCCTGACCCCAGCTGCTGTACAACTCTTAAGCCAGACCACATATCTGAGACACATTTAAAAAGGAATAATACATGGGAACAGCTTTTTTAAAAACCCATTTGCTCTCAACACAAATCTGGTACACATAATAATCATTTTCATGCTTAATTCAGGAAGAGAGAACAGGTTTTGCTTTGCAGTTAAGATGCAGCAGAATTTCCCTATCACAGAGCAGAACAGAGCAGGGAAGGGCATAAGACTTGGGAAAAGTGCAGATCAGGTGTGTCCTGACTATCGTGATAGCCCCACAAGTCGCAGAGCTATGAGAAGAGCAGCTCTGCTGATGAGGTTTGACGTCTCTTGGAGCCCAGGCACCAGTCAGCTGGCAGAGGGGCTCTCGGAAAGCTTGGCAGCTATCGCGGCTTTAAAAATTTTATCTCTTTTTTGCCAATGAACGGAAGGATTGGATTTCTTTCATGCAAGTCAGGCTTGGTAATCTCAGAAGCCTTTAACTTTTGTACTGCTTAAATGGAAAAAAAAAAATCTAAAATCCTACAGGAACTTCAGGATGGGTTTTGTGTGGTTTAACTCATCTGTTGGAAAATCTGTATTGTAGCCTTAACTAGTCAGGCTGTGTCTTTCAAGGTGCCCGCTCTTCRGATACCTAAATTTCTGAGTTAGAAATCTTGCAAGTAGGAAATTACTGAATATTTACATGTGCATAAATAACAGTGTTTTTCACTTTTATGGTAGGTCTTTAGTTCAACTGATTTTGGCTGCAGTCACCTCATTTTGGTTCAGCATCTTGTGAGAAATGAAGGAGCAGACAGATGAGGTGCTGTTCTCAAGTTCCTACATATAAGAACACACTCAGTTCTGACAGTTCTCATCATTTAGGCTTCAATATGCTTTCTGCTTAGAGGAATTTGATAAAAATAAAGTATAGCATGAAGTGTTTTTCTGTAATCCAAAGAAATTCTTGGGGGGTAGGATAGCTTCACATTTATTTTGAATGGACTTTTTGCAGGTTTACTTTCAAAGTTGCTCTGCGTTTTTAGGGACTGTATGAAAGGAGACGAAACGGAGAACAAGAAGATCGGCTGCACTGTCAATCTGATGGTAAAGTCCCTTTCTCTACCTCCTTGTGATACCGTGCAATGTATCTGAAACTGGAATAGGAAAGCTTGGCATAGATACCTGTGTCAGGCAAGTATCATTTGCGAATCCCAGTGCTGGGATGAGAGTAGGACACGGACTGGAAGCATCTCTCTGGTCCTTGGACTGGTTGGAGGCCACTGGTCCAACTCTCTCTGCCCAAAGCAGAGCCAGGTAGCTCAGGGTGTTGTCCAGTTGTGGGCACCTCCAAGGGTGGAGATCCTGGAGATAAAAGTAGCAGATTATATCAACATGACTCTGAAAATAATTTGTTCTTTTTGTTTTACACTAAGAGTGTGTTCTCTTTTTCAAGACCATCAGGCGTATACAGATGCCATTAATTATCTTCAATGGGGGGACAGAGTCTCAATGCAAATAATAATACTACTTTTCTTTTACAGAACTTCTATAAGTCTGAAATTAATAAGGAAGAGATGTACATCCGCTACATCCACAAGCTGTGTGACATGCACTTACAGGCTGAGAATTATACAGGTTAGTATGGGTTAGTATATAGTTACACTTCATGGAGGCTCTTGGGGATCCCTGCAAAATCTTTTGCCTTTCTGGTGTTSCACTCTAACATCTGCTGAATTCTTCCGGAAAGCCATTGTTTGGCTCAGCTACAGCAGGTGGAAAGATGCAGACAGATCCAGATTCCARGACTCATTCTATCAGGGGACGACTCTGCTTAAAGCCAAGTATATTTTARCCTCTTGGCATTACTTACGTGGTGTCACTGATGTGGTGCTCAACGGTTGTGTCTCCAACAGAGGCCGCGTTTACGTTGCTTTTGTACTGTGAGTTGCTTCAGTGGGAGGACAGACCTCTGAGAGAGTTCCTGCATTATCCATCTCAGTCAGAGTGGCAACGTAAGGAAGGTCTGTGCCGTAAGATTATCCATTACTTCAACAAAGGGAAGGTATGCCAACTTCTTCTCTCTTCCAGCAGCTTCCTTCCCTTTTCCTGATGTGCTTGGGCTCGCACGCCTGTCATCCCGGTTGGGTAGTCTGGAGGTGACTTTAGATCGAAAGATTTCAGGATGTGACAGGTTGCCTCTTAGTTCTGTGGAAGGAAAATAGATGAGAAAATGGGGAAAAATGAGTTGTGCATAAAATTTGGAAGTGGTCTAAGGAGGCCAACAGGGAAAAGGCCAGAACTGAAACCCTACTCTGGGTCACCTGGCAGAGAGCTCAATGAATGCTAGTTCTTCCATTTCCAAAAAATATCTTGTATTTTTTAGTGGGACTTTGCAAATTGCTGTGTTAYGTCTCACATAAGGACTAGTTTCATTTCTGATCTCCAGAAGTAAATGGCAGTTGCCAATGCTCTACATGAGTACATCTATTAAAAGAGCTTTAAGCCTTTTCAGTGTTCCTGTTAAGTGACTTTTGCTTAAGCTACAATTCTGTCCATTGCCAAGAACAAAAATCAATACATTTCAGTTGTCACGCACGCAGTGTTTTTTCTCCTGCAATAAATAATGTTTTAAGTTGCTGTAGAGATGGAGGTATTTTAGTCCCTAATAGCATGGTATTATGAGAACATTCTAGAGGTGAACCGTACAATCGAGATCATCTGTCAAAATATTTTCCAATTTTTCCCTTCCACAGAGAAACTCCTACAAGTCATATTCTTGGGGGATGACATCTGCATGTGTGCCTCAGGGTTGATTTTACCTGTGATGGCAATGACAGTGGCATTAAATACAAATGTGATTTGATCCACAGCACTTGGGTTGACATTCCGGGTAATTTCTGCCTGACCCTGATAAAAGAAAGTTGCATTTGGCAGAAATATTCTCTACAGAAGCTGCAAAAAGAAGTTGCTTTCCTGTTGTTTGTAAAGAGGGCTATTTCTGRGGAAGGATTTCAGTATCAAGAACTTGGTTTTGCCCATTTCTCCCCTTGTCTGTTCTGCTATAATAAATAATATTGCATGTGGTTCTTTTTCTACAGCTTCAGCAATTTCAGGGTTTCTAGTCTGCATTAAAAAAAAAAAAAAGCTAAATTACTGAATTGTGCAAATATTGCAGTACAGAACTGTCTGACTAGACAAAGGCTAATCAGATTATATAAAGACTATGTAAATAAAATAAGCCTGTATATTATGGCACAAATAAGCAAGCCATATAATCATGCAGGTAAGATCTCAACTGGACTTTTTTTGGAGTTGCTTGGCTGTTTTTTAACCCTCCTCTATTTTAACTGGTAGAGGAGTAACTAAAGAGCAGGKTGTCCCTCACACTGGGGAGGTGAAGGGTGTTACCAGGTGTTAATAAGCAATTACTTACAGAACCACAAGGAAAGCAGACACCTTCATTTGCGCCAGGTGATGGGCTCTTGCTGCAGCAGGTTTCCTGTATATCCTCCGTAGCAGTCCATACGCCTCCGTGGTGCTGCAGGAGACCCAAAGTGCATTTTTCCAAGCAGCTCATTTTCAGCTTGGTGCTGTGGACCCCACGTTTGAGGTGGTTTTTCTAGTGCACTCTCCTTAAAAAGGTGTTTGCAAGAGAAATCTGCACGGTGGGATGGGAGGTCCCCTYCCCGCACGCTCTGCCTGCGTGTCTGTGCCCCCGGAGCGCAGTTGGTGCCTCTCAGCCGAGAGCCTAAAGCTGCAGTAAATGTGGGATGAACGTGCTTGTCCAGGGAGGGACAGGGTGAAGGACGTGGAAGGGAACACACAGCAGCAAAAGGGACAGCAGACGGGAAGGAAGAGTCACGCTGGAGCCCTTAGGAGGTGATTTCCAGAGAAGGGAGAAGGTGCTTTAGGAATGGCATGTAGCAGGGGCAGTGCCTCCTTGCTCCGTGCTGCAAAGGTGGCACTCGGCAGCAGCAGGGACTTGAGAGAGGAGCATCCCCGCATTCAGATCCCCTGCAGTCCCTCTGCTTCCTTTCAAACATTTTCAAACCCTCCTCTCTGCATGAGGACAACGTTGCAGCTCTGGGGTCACCTAGGAAGMCAGGCAGCTCCTTGTTTCTGCCTTTAGGGAATTAGGCAGGTGTTAGCCATAGCATCCCAGCTGGAAATRAGGCTGTGCCTGTCTGCACGGTGAGAAGAGCCTTTTGTTCCCGAGCAGCTATTTTAAAATAGGTTTTTCTCTCTCTTCTTCCGGGTAAATAGAGATATAAGCACTTAACTGCTTAATACTGTTGGTGGCAAGTTAGAATATCGTTTTGTATGTCATGACAACCCACAGCAAAAATCCTGTTAGTTTAAGATCATAAAAACTTTCGTAACGTCCTTAAGTAGTCACCTAACTGGTCGCTGAGTTTATTTCCTGTAGCACATACTAGGTTGATCTGAACAAATATCAGCCTTTCCATTTTTCCAACTACTAATATTACAAGAATATACAAAGAGATCCTGAAAGAGCAAGTTCTGCTCTTTTCAACAAGTTCCCATGTAGGTTTTGGGGATTAACAGGAGTCCGAGAAGTTTGGGATTGTTTCTTTAGGCGTTTTAGGTCTTACCTTTATCCTCTTTTTCAGAAAAGACATTGTTGAAACTACTTTGTTGAGGCTTTTCAGAGAAAAAGGAGCATTGCTGCTATTAGGGATGAGGGAACAGGTGCTGTAGGAATGTCTGTGCATAGTGGCAGGCGCTGGAAAGTGCCTGAGGCACTGAATCAAATGATGTTACAGAAAACCTGGGTCCATGCAACCCCCTARTATTTTACAGGATTGTTGTCAGCTCTGTAAAAGCTTCGGTGCTTATGTAACTCATGCATTGATTGTTTTCAATGCAACAGGGCTACAATTAAAGCAACTTAAAAGTTAACCCAGTGACTTACTTAGAAATGAGTCCATTAGAAGTCCAGCTGAGATCTTTGGGTCTAGATTCTTTACATAAATAGGGCAAGAAACAGTCCGTCCTGTCCTCCCAAAGGCTTCTAACCTATACGGTTATAGGCAGAAGGGAGAGAAGATCTTCTCAATGCAAGGGTATTAGATGAGCACCTCTGAGAAGCCGGGAGGGCTAAGGAGGGATCCCTCTCCCAGCACAGCCATGKAGAAACTCCAACTCCTGCTTGCCTCCAAAGGAGGTCAGTCCTGTGTCTTAGGAAAGCACTGGATCAAAAAACACCTCTAATTTGGGGAAATGAGATCTGCTTTCGATTCTGAGCACAGATGTGGACTCGATCTGGTCCTGCAGGTCCTGCCTAGACAAGTCACTCCAGGGATGCCAGGCCATTTTAGCACAGAAAGCAAAGGAGYTGGTGGGGATGTTAACAGGATGAACATTTCTTGGCTATTTTGTCCTTCTCCAGAGAGGTCCTCAGCCTCACGAGTGAACAGTCAATAGCAGCAGCACGAGTGTGTCACTGTAATGGGGACACGGCTAAGGAACAAAGCTCCCATCGTGAATGTCAAACGCATCCTCACATTGCATTTTCCCAGCTAAGCCCTGGCGTGTCCCGAACGGCGCGGCGCTCGGGGCCGCAGCCCCGCTGGCCGGGGCGTCGCGGGTGCTCTGAGCTGCTCCGCTTTGGTTTTGCAGAGCTGGGAGTTCGGCATCCCGCTGTGCAGAGAGCTGGCCGTACAGTATGAAGGTCTCTATGACTATCAGAGCCTCAGCTGGATCCGGGTACGTAGCGGCGGTTCCTCCCCTTGACTCTCGGGGGGCTTTCCAGGGAATTTGGGTGCAATGTCAGAAAGTTCGGAATTTGAAAAAATAAACATCTTCCTGATACAGCTTCACACGCTGTGGGGCCACTGATTTAATTCCTAGTTTTGCTGGCAACAAACTCCAGGGAGTATATGGGCAATGCACACACGGAAGCTAGGCTTCCAGTTACATATTTATGTATATTTTATCAAAAGACCTTTTCATTATCCTTTTTCATTGTTTTGTTCTTCTTAATGATGCATGATAGTTCATTTTAATCCTGAAAGTATCAAGGACAGCCCGTGCCTCGGTTAAAATGAGAAGAACAAGCAAGGAAAGCRCAGCAGAAAAGTCCTATTTATTTACCTTGTCAGTTGTACTGATCCTTTGGTAAAAGCAAGGACACAATGGAATCAAGGCAAAAATTGTAGCGTCGCTGCTTGAATTCAAAAATCAAAAATTTGACTGGGATATACAAGCTTTCATGAACATGAAAAYAGTTTGTCGTCATCCTTTGGGTAAAATGTCCAGATTTAGGTGAATGCTACAGAAATGCGTTTTATGGTRTCTGAGCTGGCCTTCCAAAGTGCAAGCTTCTTCTCGTTCAAGCTGGATGAGTACCTAGCTCTGATGAAGTGCGTTTCTGAAGAGCCTCCTTCCTCACGCTGGCCACAAGGAGGGTGCCCGTTACGGGGCACCCGTTGTGCAGGCGTCACGGGGCGCACCATGCGGAAACCCGCCTTGGTGAACAGGAAAGATCACCACATTTCTGAAGTGATTGCAAACCATGGGCAAACAAGGCTATTAGAAAAGCTTAGGGCAGTAATGCRTCGAGGGTACCCTGTTCATTTATTTTCTCCAAGATAATAAGGCATTCTTGCTGTTGATTGCTTGGATTTAATCAGCTTGGCTGATAAGGAGAACCTTGGTTGATCAGAAGCAATTCACCTCTTTGCTTGTGCTCACCTGAATGGGGCCAGTTTCCCATTGAAGTTCCCTAAAACTGCCTTCACCTAAATTGACTGAATTCCTCCCCATCCCAAAAGCCTTTGTTTTCATGCCGCTCACGTCATTCAGCCCATTCCTTTATCCTTCCCACGAGGATTTTGAGACCTCCTCCTTGGGAAAGGTTAACGCGTGTGGGAAGGGAGCACAAAACCTTGCTGCGACGCTGGAAGTCCGAGCTGCGATTCGGGTCCCCTGCAGCGGAAGCAAAAGCGTCCRACCGATCCCTCTCTTTTTGCACTGGTAAAATTCCCGTGAGCTTTTCAGCGGAGATCCGGCTTGGCAAGAGGTCCCAAAATGCCACTCGCTATAACTGCCAGCACGCTGCTGTAATGATGATAACTGGAAGCAGAGAAGAAGAAAAAGCCCCTTTCCTTCCTGCAGAAGCCTTTCTTGTGCCGTGTTAAGGTTACGGGTACGCAGAGCGATCGAAGATGTCATTTGATTTCCTCCTTTTTCATGCCCTTTGCAAGCCCAATTAAAGCACATGTAATTGAGCTGCTGGGCTTCTTCAGGCAACAGCTTTTGAGCTGCAGGGAGAGGATATGGTTAGAAGAGGACAGTGGGAGCAGCCAGGCGACGCGGAGCTTCAGCTCAGCCCTTAATTCTGCCGCGCAAAGAAAATCACACACAAGGCTGTTTAATTTAACAGAAGATATTAGACCAAAAAAAAAAAAAAATCCTAAGGCATTTCAAGGCAAAAAAGTGATTATGATGATACCCCTTACTGATACCCAGCGTGTTTCCAGCACGTAGGAAAAATGAGCCCTTTCATAAAGAAACCGGGAGCGCCAAGAAGGAGTGGGGAATATAAAGGCGGGTGGAGGCTCTACTGCTTTCGGTGCATTTTTAAGAGTCTGATAAAACTGTTTTTCTCCTCCACAGAAAATGGAAGCCACCTACTATGACAATATCATGGAGCAGCAGCGCTTGGAGCCRGAGTTTTTCCGAGTTGGTTTCTATGGTCGGAAATTCCCATTTTTCCTGCGGGTAAGCCAGGTTTATATAAAAAGGTGACAACGTTGCCAGGCTTTAATTAGTGGYGAAGGCTGTGGATTTTTGCGGGGGATGAGGCATGGGATGACATCTGCTGTTCAGGTTTTTTTCTTTATTTAAATTCAATTAAGTCATTTTTGAGGTCAAGTTTTGCTTTGAAGAGGAGAGTGATTAGTCCTGTGGCCTTTYTGGGCCTTTTATTCGGCATTGCTTTCAACACCAGGGCTTGTAGTATTTTGTGAACCAGCTTTCCGGCCCGGATGAAGGATRCAAAGCATCGGGCATGTTCTTGGGGAAAAAACACCCAAAATCTGCCTCGTGCCCGTGTGTGTTTTTAACCAGGCTCACCMCAAATTCACTCTGTATTAAGCAAATTGTTTAATGCAGCAATACTCGCTCGTTACTTCACCAGTTTTCAGCACTGCAAATTATCATGCTCAGAGAAGTCTCCCATGATGGGATGATGCAAATACCAGATCGATACTCAGGCTGTCTACAAGCTAAAATTGCCCCTCTTGTCAGTGAAATGTCTATCTTCTGTACACGTCCCCACTTACAGCTTGCTGTCTGCTGGCATCTGCAGGATCCGCCGGCTCCGAGAGCCATTTAAAGAGTGAAATTATCTTCTTTTTCCTAACGAGCAGTCAGTCTTAAAATGGGTGTTTGTTCGTAGCGGGTCTTGTTGCCGATTCGGGGTGAGGATGGAATAGAAGCTGACAACTGCTGTAAAAACTGCCTGAAAATGCCTGAAAATGGCTYGTAGATACCATACAGCCTGACAGGACAAGCTGACGCGGAGCCTGCTTTAGAGAACGGGAGCTGCACACTGTGTATTTGCTTTAAAATGCTCTGTATTTGCTTTAAAGCAATAGTTTGACAAGGGATGGCACCGCTCTTGAGTCGTGCAGCGAGAAGCTACAAACCCAAACTGCTGCTATTCAGTAGCACCCATGTTTTGGAATTGCACCCAGTGTTTTCCCTCTGGTTGCTCTGCTCTTTTTGAGCTGTGATTCCAACGTTGGTGTTGAATTGCTGTTAACGATGGCAAGTTGGAATGAATCAGGAGGGAAGGTGCTGCTGGATGAAGTATTACTCACGGGCGAAGCTGAGCAGGGCTGTGGTGCTGCGAGGAGGCTGGGCAGTGATGGGAGCTGCAGCGGGAAGCAGTGCTTACCCTCCTGAAGCTCTCCAGGGAAAACCACCGATGTCTCTTATATCAAACAGCCAATGCTTTGGAAAAGGGATGACAGCAAAGCCATTGTGGCTGGGCAGCCCCCCTGGGTTTGAGGGCTGGGGAATCCAGCTTGTCTTGTTCCATTACGGATCCTACAGGTTTATTTGGCTTCTGGGAAGCCGACGTGTTTCAGTAAATGCCGAGGTTTTCACGCACGACACTTGCTGTTTGGGAGAGGGTCTAACAAGGTGGGTACTCGGATGGAGAGAGCCGCAGCGAACAAGCGTGTACGTAATTATAATCCTTGTTAATTCTGSAATTATATTTGGTAGCAGTCCTTGTGATAGCCGATTACTAATGCAGCAATCTCATTAAAAGCCACCCTCCTCCTTTTTCTCTCTAATGATCCATGCAGCATACCCATCACGCAGCACAGGCTAAACCCATTAGCAACTGCATCCGCATGGCTYGGGCTCTAAAGAGATTGGGAGCTGCTATTCTGGAGAAGAAAAAGATTTACATGGATTTAAAATTTTCAAATGGATACAGAAGTGATTTAAAGTGATCAAGAGGCTCCGTGCACTCTTCATTTGTCTTGCTCTTGCTCTACAGTGGAAAACAGCCACCACTCTTTCTTCTGCGTCCTTGATTTTATAGACCCTTTGTTTGGGAATTGTTCATGCTGCTCTGCATTCTGCATCTATTTCTAGCACTGCCCTACAAGCAAATTGAAGCTCTCCATGTTTTCCATCTAGCTGAAGTTCAAGTAAGGCTTGACAAGCCACATTCTGCAATCTTGCACTGGCATCTGTCTGAAGCGATTATTAAATATAGCCTCGAGGTGTTTTGAGGGCAGTATTTTTAGAATCACAATACTTTTATTTATAGGCTTGCAGGTTTCTGCACTGCTGCAAGCAAAATCCAGTATAGGACCTCCAGGAAGTGTCACAAAGAGCTTCCCCTTCAGCTGTGGGCTCCCTCCTAATTTAGTAATAGCCCCAAACGCGGCGTTTGGGCTTTAAGGCACCCAACTGCCAGGCTGCATCTCGCAGCTGCCCCCCGTGTCGGTCGCTCTGGCTGATGCACAGCAAGTGACATATGTCACCGCTGGAACATGGCCTCTGAATGCAAAGCCAGCAATTTCCATGTTATCTTATCCCTGGGTTTTGATGTTTTCTCTTTGCTTTTGCGCAGAAATCACTAGGCTTTGCTTTTGAATTTACAGACCTGCCCATCTAGCCTAACTATCAGAAACAGCCCTTTTCTTTTTCTTCTATGACATAGTATTTCTAATGTCTTTTATAGGTTCTCATCTTTGAGCAAATGTTTAAAATATATTAATGCAAATGAAGATGGATTGCCTGAATTTCTCTGCTTGTCTTGCTGCATTTTGTCAGCACAGCAGGGGAAAAATTCTTGCAGCTAAAAACGCTCTTATTGTTCGCATTTMACTTAGTCTTTCCTGCTTGAGCTGGAAGCCAACCTATTAAACTGTATATTAAAAATCTATCACTGCATATTGCATTTCCACATGTACTGAAACGGCGCTTTTTGTAACCTTTTTGTAAAGGAGGGAAAATTATTCTAAAGGGAATGAGCAAAGTCAGTGCTGCGACGCTTAATGGAGTCTTGCYATGGCACAGCAGAGATTTCCGAGTAATGTTTGGGGCTGCAGAATTCAGCCCAGCTTCTTCTCGAGTGCCAGTCCCAGCAGTCTGGTGCAGCCCCTTCCTGCCTTGCCAGGTTCAGTTTACACAGATGAAGGTGTAAGAGGGTCAGGTTTGCAGGGACCTTGCTAAGAAGAGCTAAAGCAGCAGCAGCTGGACAGGGTTAAGAGCAGCTCCTGTCCCCAGGCCAATTAGCACAAGCTGCTGAGTAGGCAGCAGTTGCTGACACGCGGGGGAAGCATTTGGGGCTGATGTTTTTGCTGGTTGGACTTCTTTCTTTCATAAAGGTGAAAAATCTCCCCGTACTTATTATGTGTTTACCTGCACGGGAATTAAAACTAGCAGCAGCAGAGGTCTGCCTACCTTGATAGGCTCTGCATTCAGGCAACACGAGCACCAATCCCACTCCTGTTTTGAGGTAATGTAGCTGAGACACTCAAAGTCCTTGTGACACTGAGGACATTTTCTTTTTCCAAAAGTGTTTTTTTGTGGATTCTGTTGTGCCTCTTCTCTAAGGATAGCTGGGGAATTGCTAAACTGATGCATCGATCTGTGCTGTGGAAAGCCCAGGCCTTTTATCGGTCTTGTGTTAACCGCACTTGACAGTAGGGGTGGAAGAGCCAAGGACTATGTTTTGGCCAGGATGTTTATCTAAAGAACGCAGGTCAGGCAAGAACAGAGCATTGGCTGCTCCTTTGGCAGAAGGAGAATCACCTTTTGCTGAGAGATCAGAGGAGCCATCTCCTTCATRACTTCTTGAAGAAAAATACTCTGTAATGAAAAACAAAGGAGCGAAATGCACCATCTGTGTTGCATGCATGTTTTAGTCTTGTGCTAGCTAGCATATCGACTTTGTACTTGATCTTTCTTCCCGATGCGGTAAAATTTAAAGCAAGGTATTTAAAGGCTGGTGAAATACCCCTTAGTTTTGAGCAGGCTTGTTTGTAAAGCTGCGGCTGACGGGCCTCCATGCTTGTGCTTGCTGCAGAACAAGGAGTACGTGTGTCGGGGCCACGACTACGAGCGGCTGGAAGCCTTCCAGCAGCGCATGCTGAGCGAGTTCCCGCAGGCCATCGCCATGCAGCACCCGAACCACCCGGACGACTCCATCCTGCAGTGCGACGCCCAGTGTATCCTTTCCGGAGGAGGCAAACTGAGGTTTCATGAGGTCCAACAGGGACAAGTGCAGGGTCCTGCACTTGGGGAGGAATAACCYTGGACACYAGTACAGATTAGGGGTTGACCTGCTGGAGAGCAGCCCCGCAGAGAGGGACCTGGGCGTGGTGGTGGAYGACAAGWTGACCAYGAGGCAGCAGTGTGCCCTGGTGGCCAACAAGGCCAACGGGATCCTGGGGTGCATTAGGAAGAGCGTCTCCAGCAGGTCGAGGGAGGTGATCGTCCTCCTATACACAGCCCTGGTGAGGCCACATCTGGAGACTGTGTCCAGTTCTGGGCTTCCCAGGACAAGAGGGATGTGGAGCAGTGGTGGGCAGGGATAGGACTAGAGGGAATGGCTTCAAACTGAAGCATCGGAAGTTCCACAGGAACTTAAGGAAGCATTTCTTCACTGTGAGGCTGACAAAGCACTGGAACAGGCTGCCCAGAGAGGTTGTGGAGTCTCCTTCWTTGGAGATCTGAACAACCTGCTTGGATGCAGCCCTGTGCCACGTGCTCTGGGTGACCCTGCGTGAGCAGGGGGTGTACTCGATGACCTCTGAGGTCCCTTCCAACCTTGAGCATTCTATGATTCTATGAAACGGTGCTCCCCCAAGCCGTGGTAGGGCCCAAAGGAGCGAGGGGCGCAGTGAATAAGATGCTGTGTACATTGAAGGACTCAACCATGTGGTATTTACCATGTCTGGGGCATTTTAGTAAGAGGAATACTGCTGGTTGACACCAGCAAGGATGCTGTGCAGGACTGAACCAGCAGGACATTGTCAGCAAACACAAGCTGATGAAACTGGTTGGTGTTTCTCACTTATTTTTTCCTACTCTTTTTCACTACACGACACCAGTTCTTCGTAGGACAGGTTGAGGCTGTTTGTATATTTAGGTTGCTTTGTTTATGCTTGCAGAGATCATCTTACGGTTAGACTAATTTGAACTGGATTGTAAACTGATTAAATTAGAGCCCTTTTTCTGGGTTGCAGATAAGCTGAAGTATCTAAGGTTAGATTTAGCAAAGATATTTATGTTTCAGTGCCTAAATATGGAGAGGCACCTATGAAGATGTACTTGAAATKTCTGCCTGAAATAAGCACCTACCTCCAAATCACACTAAAGAAAACGGGATATTTTGCCTACTAGAGACATTACTGAAGCTCTTACTACATCCTCGGTGCATCCTCAGGCATTTTTCCTCACAGATCTGGCCGTATGGTCCTATAACTTCTACAGACCATCCTAGTAGCTCTGGTCTTGTGTTCCATTGCGCCCCTTGCAAGGCGGAGTGTTGGAAAACCAAGGGGAGAGCAACTTTCTGGACTCACCATTCTGTTTCTTTCCACTGTTGCATCAGCTTTCCTGCTTTGTGTCCCGTGCTTTCTTTGACTGCCTCCTGCAGATCTGCAGATCTACGCAGTGACTCCCATCCCGGAGAACATAGATGTGCTGCAAATGGACCGCGTCCCCGACCGCATAAAGAGCTTCTACCGAGTCAACAACATCCGCAAGTTCCGCTATGACAGGCCCTTCCATAAAGGCCCCAAGGACAAGGAGAACGAATTTAAGGTAGGAGGAGTCAGTAAGCAGYATTTAAGAGGCAGTGTCTTCAAGGCAAGTAGAGCCTTGTTATTTTCTGCTGACAAACCAATTAAAGTAATCTGGTTTTATGGCAGAAGATGCTATCGTAAGTCAAGAGTTGGTGGCTGYTTCAGTCTGGTGGTTACACCCAGACCTGATAAAAGCAATGTCTGGTTTAAAGGTGAGTTATTTTAGTGCCAGGAGAAATCCGGTTTGAAACAATAGTGTTTTTTTGGTTGGTTGGAGTTTTCTTACTGATGTACATGTCCACAATGTCCTCTTGGTTCCCATGTCAGAACAAGCTCTAAGTATTAATAGAAATATGTAAGATCTTGCTTTAAAACATACTGAATTCTTTCGTGGTGTTAAATATAAAATGACTTTGAACAGGAAATCACAGTCCATTTTGTAATACGTGCTGCAGCTTAAAAGGTTGATCTGCTGTTCTCTAAGCTTTACTTCTTTATCACCTGTAGCAAAAGTGCAGACGTTTTGAATCCCATTCACCGTGTCCCTCCGTGTCCTCGATTCTTTGCAGAGCTTGTGGATTGAACGTACCACTCTGACCTTGACTCAYAGTTTGCCGGGCATCTCTCGCTGGTTTGAAGTGGAAAGAAGAGAACTGGTAACATTCCTGGTTCCTATACGTGAGGTTTGAAATGATGAATTATTTGGGACATGAAATAGGCAACGTGAAGTCCTCTGGCTGCACTCTTGCAGTTTACTGGTGGTGAAGTATGTCCTTTTTCCACTGCGTAGCAAGAGTAATAAACGTAACTAGGGGAACAGGGTGAGGGAACATGACAGTGCAATGGAGAAAATGCCCAAAAGGTGGAATATTGCATTGTTATCATGTCTTCAGTTTGCAGGAAGAAGTTACTGCAAATCAGGGACCTAAAATATAGCAGTGCCAACACAAAGTTTGCTAATGTAGCTAGATTTCAACAAAGCAGTAAAAAATGAGAGAGATCACTGAACAATCCGGGCAAACCTTTTCACACAGGGAAGATAATAAATCACAGTGAAGCGTCCATGGAACTGAAGTGTATTTTCTTGTCTCTGAGGTCGAAGTAAGTCCTTTGGAAAACGCCATTCAAGTGGTTGAGAACAAAAACCAGGAGCTGAGAACACTGATAAGCCAGTACCAGCACAAACAAATGCATGGGAACATTAATCTTCTCAGCATGTGTCTGAACGGAGTGATTGATGCGGCGGTGAACGGGGGAATCGCGCGATACCAGGAGGTAACCGGGGCTGCGCCGGGGCATTCACCATCACCTCTTCTCAAGGCTATTTCCTATGTTGCAAAAGGAGTCCCATTTAATAGGAAAACTAATGTCCTTGCACGTAACCTGGGCACAAATTTAAAATTCCGTAGCTGGTTATTCCACATCAGTCCTTGTCCAGCCGTGTGCCAGCACAGGGACCCAATATGGATTTGGGATGTCACGTTAAAGTAGAAACCATAGATAATGGGGTTTCTTAACAGTGAGCTTGACTTACCTAGAAATCCTGACTTGGCAGGTACAAGAGTGAAGGAGAAAGTTGTTTTATTTATTCATTYATTTATTRAATGCTGCTTGCCTTGTAAATGCGTTTTGCAAAGGTGGCAGTGGGATTTAGGTAACAGAGACCAGTTGGGGCTCTCATTAAGAAGAGCTGCTGACTCGAGCTCCTGCAGCATTCTTTGCTGGGCTAATTTCAGCCTCGCTGTAACTGCGAAAGGCTCCAATAGGCAGCATGTTACGTGGCATGTTCTTTGGCAAGCTGTTGCTTATGGCTCCGTGTTGCTAAAGGTAGTTCTAGTGTGAAGCACTGAAAAATGTGAGCAGTGTTTTGTCGGACTGGGACACATGGAGAAGGCTCCTCATCCTTGGTGCTCCTTCTTTCCATCTGTACTCCCTGAATTCCTTTAGTTTGAGGTAGTTTTGTGAAGGAAGCAATACAAAATTCAAGGAATGGGATGATGGAAGCTGTAGCAGGGTGGCTCATGGCTGTCACGTGGGGAGGCTGGCTCGGATTGGGGACCCTGCAGGGCTGGGGACATCTGGTTGGGCTGCTCGATACGGGGCCGCTGGCAGCGCAGTCACCTAGGCTGCTGAAACTGCCCTAGCTTCACCTGAATGCAGTACAGCTGAGCTGCTGCTCTTGGCTTAATATGTTTCAATTTCCTAGAATTTTAATCCTTTACCTGTCATCTTTTGACACAGAGTTACGATGAAATCTCCCCCAGGAAGCAGAAAGATTTTTTTTTTCTTTCCCTACAGGCTTTCTTTGATAAAGATTATATCACCAAGCACCCCGGGGATGCAGAGAAAATCACACAGCTCAAGGAGCTCATGCAGGAACAGGTACTGTTCTCTAGGCACAAAAGACTATTGCGATGGGGTCTGGATCCATCAGCAGGGTTCCAGATTCATTAAACACACCAGATCCAGCTGATCCATTCAAAAGCAAAAAAATTTAGTACAAGAATTTTAAAGTATATTTAAAAAAAGGAGAAGAGCTGGCCAAGATGAGCAACCGTTCACCTGATGGGCACTGAGTTGATGCTCAGATGAGATTACAGGAGTTTCATTGTCTCTGTTTACTATCCGCATATCTTGGCTTGCTTCAAACCCACCACCGTTTCTGGCATGGTTTTGAGCAGCTCTTCCCAGTAAAYTGCAAAGATAATAAGAGTCAGGGCAGTCCAGGTTAGGACTGAGATAGGCAGAGCCGCATGGGAAGACTTAATGCCTATTAATATTATCTACACTTTTACTATTCTTAGTGGCTCTAAGAAGCATCTTCGTAGATAAAACTAGCTGGATGCTTTGATGGGAGTGAGATCAAAAAATCACATTTCTGTTAATCAGAGGTCTGGCAAAACACACTCTTATTAAACAATGTGTCCGAATCTGAATGGAGCAACTAGGCCTGTTTCTTCAACAAATTGCTTTACTGCATTTCAGATTTCCCATCTGTAAAATAAAGATAGTGCTTATCTCCCTTCGATCCTCAAGAGGATGTTTGAAGATTAATTAGCTATTGTTTGTACAGAGTTTGGATCGTGTAGGGAATTGCACACATCTAAAGCTGGCTATCACTGCTATTTTCTTTCATCTGAAAGTTTATATAATCTCACTCAATTATTAATATTATATTCTTGACCTTTGCAAATGTGACCTTTTTAAATAAATAATGAGCAACCAAAATGGTGAATATGCATGCAACACTGCACTGTTCAGCTTAATTGTCAGAAGCACCTCTTGGAAATCTCTGTGGGCAACTTTGACTCCTTTGCTGACACCAGGTAGAAGGAATATTCTGTCATAAAGAATTATCTGTGTGAGGACTTAATGCTGTTCACTCTGGAGAGTGAATCAATCCGGTAATTCTTTACAGTTATTGCCAGCAAGTGGAATCCAACATGACATAAATGTTCTTGTCTCACACTTAAAGTACTTGCTGAAGTAATAGCAACTTGCCAGGTCTCCCAGGCTTACTTAATTATCAGCAGTGTCGCGAACGAACAGCGTGATGCATTACGGWGCTCTCGTGCTCGCTGCCAGAACTGAGGCGTGGGCTTCTGTGCTGTCTCTTAGCTGGGATTTATTTGGTTTTGTGACAGTACGATTCCTTTTTAATAGGTGCACGTCTTAGGAGTGGGTCTGGCGGTCCATGAGAAATTTGTACACCCAGAAATGCGTCCTCTGCACAAGAAACTGATAGATCAGTTCCAGATGATGCGATCCAGCTTGTACCACGTAAGCCAAGTCTTACTTGGAATCCTTTGGAGCTGGTGAGACTTCTCTCAGCTGCAGTGAGGTTTACACAGGAATTGGGCAGATACAGCATAAATTAAATGGCCAAATTATAAAATGAATTATTGATCAGCRTTCAAGACAAGAGCCCTAGCAAGTCTGCTAACCTGCTCTCTATTCCCTGGGATTTTCTTTATGTCTCGGTATTACAGAACAGTGGTAAAGCTCCATTTTCAGCCGTTGTCTTGCACAGCAGAAAGTGTGGAAAGCAGAAGGATTATTAGAAAGTGTTAGATATTCAGCTCTTAAAAAGAATTGTCATCATTTGGAAGACAACAAAGGTGGATTCTGCCCCCAGGAGTGTTTCTTTATAGACGCAATTCCTCTTGGTAACTTTGGACATCCAACTCCGTGGATCAGGACACGCTGTGTTACAGATGTTTGTTTCCTAGTATATACGTTTGTAGACATAGGCCTGTGTTTCCTATATAGTCAAGGGAACTGCCTCCAGATTTGATATATGAATGTTCAGCATTTTATGTTCCAATTGGAGTATATATTTTCTAAAAACTTGAAGGCCTTTTCCTCATCGTTAGGAGTGAATACACTGCAAGGGTGGCCACAAAGGGCAATGCCAGAATTTTAACATGCGGCCTCTCTTTGAGAGATCCATGTGGGTCACCACTGCCAACCTGAGCTCGCTGTCTGCCAGACCCTGTGAGGGTTTGCCCAAGATCTGTGTCCTCAAGGTCACATTTGTTTTTCTGCAAGATTTAGTTGTCATCTGCAAGGTTATCCTCCCAAATTCCTGACATGGGGACCAGAAAGTATTATTGGAAATAAATAGAATCATAGAATGCTTAAGGTTGGAAGGGACTTCCAGAGGTCATCTAGTCCAAGCCCCCTGCACCCTGTAAAACAGGGTTATAAAGTGCTGAAGCTCTTAGGTCTAACTAAATAGTATGGAAAGAGATGAACAATATTCTAGAAGATTTTTTTTTCCTGACCAACTTAGCTATTTCAGCTGTTGCATCTAAGCTGTTTTTGTTTCCTGTGCAGGAGTTACCTGGTTTGGATAAGCTGAGTCCAGCCTGTTCTGGCTCTAGCACACCACGCAGCAACGTTCTGGTTTCGCACGGRCCGATGAGCCCCGAGAGCATAAAGCTGGTGCATCGACACAGGTAGCGTCTGCTGAAAGAGCCAGGATTTCTGCACACACAAAAGGACAATGTTATTGTTTGGGTTAGAACCYAACTCAATGTATACCCCCTGTTTTTGAAGCTCCAAAAATATTTACATCATTGTTTTTAACGATTCTGATCAAAACCACCCAAATGCCATCAAAACGGCTGTCTGTTTTGATCAGAAAATTTAAAAAATTGCTCAGCTTTCAGAGAAACATCTGAAAATGCAGATGCTTACTGAAACTGGCTGTCTCTCCATAAAATTTGGTATTGATTGTGATTGAGGACAAAAATTGGGATTTTCAGGACAAAAAAATGCTTATTTGAGTGTTTCTGCAGTGACACTAGTCAGGGCCGCAGTGACAGGAATGGCTCTTGGGTTTCTGTTATTACTCCATTTAATTTCTCTCTGTGGATCCATGTAGCAGCTTTTAAGCTTGCCCTGAAAAGCCACGGAGACTTGGAATACTGCTCCAGGACAGCAGTATTCTTTTTAATACTAAAATTGAGTAGATCTTATGCTGCTTTAAGGGTTTAGCAGTAGACGGCATCTAGTGATAACATTTTTTTTCCCCAAAAAAAATCACCAATTTGAAAAGCYCTTTTTAGTTCTTAGTGGTAAATTAGGAGGGGGACTCACGTATATGGACTGGAAGACTGCGTTTGATRTGGGTGACTTCTCCTTGGCTTCCCTGGGAGGGTGTCTCCATCAACGGTGCTTCAGCATTAGAAATGAGAGCGGTTTTTGCATGCTCTGTTGTAAACAGAATGGATGGMCACCCAGGATGATGACGTGCTGCTAAGCTGGCTTTGGATTCTGAGATTTTACATCCTGCATCCTACATTATTTTAAGTGTAGCCTTATTTCCAGTTCCATGAACATGTCTGTTTATGAAMGGTTGGTTTGGGTTACTTTGGGCTGATTTTTCTCAAAGCATTTGACATCTGGAGGTCACCTGAAGCAGTGGGGAAGCTGCAGGTTCTTCCTAGCCCTGAAGAATTAAGCTTCCCAAAATGAAACACGGGTTCAAAAAGCCATAGTGCCCTTGTTCTGTTGGTTTTCTTCCAGCCCGCTGAACTTGCTCGGTTCAGTCCGACACTCCTCGTCCTCCCTGTCGTCACACACCTCCAGCGAAACGGGAAACCTGGTGATCCTAACGGACAGTTCAGTGGGGGAGACTGCTGAGGATATGTACCACATGCAGGTAGAGCACTTGGCAGCAGGGTATTTACCCGGCCRGGCACTCGGATCTGTCCGGTGAGATTCTTCTCCGACACCTGAAYGGGTAGAACCTCACACGGTGCAAGAAAGGCAACAGTAATTCAGTCAGGTTTGCTTGGGGAAGAAATTATCGGTTGTCAGTGTGGTCTGTGATGAGATGATACTCAGCCAGCGTGTTCTTTTTTGGACCCGCTGCACAGGTGGATGCTTGGTAACACTGGGCATAGTGGGTGAGAGGCTGGAATGAGTCCCACAGCCTTGGTGCAGGTCAGTAGTGGCTGCATAGAAGCTCTTTCCTAGCCAGGAGGTCCCCCTGGGTGATCTGAGACGGGTAAAGAGCGACTGCACTCATCCCCTCCCTTTTCTTTTGCTGATTTCTCTGCCTCCTGCAGCTTGTTTACCCTAACTCCAGGTACCAAGGCTCGGTCACCAACGTGTCTGTTTTGTCCTCGTCCCAGGCCAGCCCTTCCACCTCGAGCCTGAGCTCTACCCACTCTGCCCCATCGCAGATGATAAACTCTGCCCCTTCCAGCGCGCGAGGTAAGAACGCACGGGCTCGATGAAGGGTCAGCTGGGGCTKCTGGCTCCCCAAAATCTTTCAGCTGGTTGGCGTGTTGGTTGAACTGCCTTGAAATACATCACTGTTTCTCTTCCCGGTTGGAATTCTCTCTTCAAAGTGATTCCTCTAAAATGATTTGCATTCTGCAAAAGGGATTTGGCATTTTTTTCAGCCATGCTTGGAGTATGTCTTTGGGATACGCTGGTTTCAGGCTGTTGAATTCCCTCGTGGTCTCCACTGTCCCTCTGCAAAATTGTGGCAGGCAATGTAGAAAACAGAATATTTAAGATAAGCGTATTCTTTGGTACAGTAGTTGAGCGAGGCAGATAATGAAGTTAAAGACAAAAAAAAAAAGGAATTTCCCATTACATTTAAATGAAACGATGATACAAAAATGAACTGGAGGCAGGTTGCCATCAATGTATGCATATGAAAGCATATAAATCCAATGAACATTAAAAGAGCTACAAGTACCAGAGCTAAAGGACTTCCCCACTGGGAAATTTCTGAATAAAATAAAAAATTAAAGCAGATAGTAGGGTACTTAAGTTGCCTTTGCTGCCAGAGTAGCTGGTTTTGATAGAGTTGATCCTTTGCTCCCCGTGCCCCAGAGCCGAAGCAGAATCCCCCATGTAAACTCCTGGCTTTGGTAACATTTCTTCAAAACGTTTTTTTTCTCTCCTTTGGGGAACTCAGCTACAGATCCAACCTCTTCTCCACCCCTGTTCATGGTGTATGAAGAAGGTCGCCAAGATGTAGTCTGAGATAAAGGCTGTTTTATAAATCTTACCCCTTTTTCTCCTATAGGGGAACTGTCTGTCTCTATATACAGAGGGGAAGATTTTTACTGCTTGGTAACAAGTGAAAACCTCCGTCCTCTTGAGCCAGTTTGGGGCTTTTTTGCTCAGTCTCACAGTAAGATCTTACTTGACTGGCTGCTGTAATGACACAGATGTGTTCAAGTGAGATTGGACTGGACAGTCAGAGGGAGGAGGAAGGTGAGGAACGGAAGTCTTCAAAATGCAGATGGCTTCACTAGTTGCCAAGAGCTGGAAAGAAAATAATGACAATTCAACTAGCGGAGTAACACAATGAAGCTGCCGAGTGAGAATGGGAAGATGGAACCAAAAATAGGGCTGTGATGTCAGAAGACACCCTTTAAATGCAGGTTGCCATAGCTGGCTTGCGAGATCTCTGAAGGGTTTTGTGCTCACATCATTTTAGGCTTTAAAAAGATCTTGTGTTTGCAGTAACAGGCTGTGCCGGTCTCTGTGAGCCTGATGACCTCCGAGCATCCCCACGTTCCCGTCTMACTGTATTCTTTGCTGTCACTTAGAAACCAAAATAGCGAGTGCTCCTGCAGGGCAGTGCTGCCCACAGCTGAGCCAACAGCACCTCCCAGAGATGGGAGCCAGGCAGTGGAAATGGCCACAGGCGTGGAAGCAGTTAAGAGAAATAATGATTTTGCAAACTAAATGAATAGCTTTTTACTTTCTTCTTTGCTCTTCCTAAAATGTTTTGACAGCTTAYGATGAAAAGATTTCTTTCCTGGTAGGTTTGTTGATTTTCCCATTAGAGAAGCATAGGATTCCCAGGGTACTCACGTGTAAAACAGGAGATCTCTAGCGAAGCGCCAGATCTTGTCTGTGTTTCAGAGTTTGCAAGTCACTCCTCTGGTTTATGACACTGCAATTTGGGATGGAATTATTCATGACAAGGAAAAGCCCTTCATTTAAGCTGCACTGTGCTAATACAGCACCGTGGTTTGTGCTGTCTTACGGCACAATTGCTCTTCTYCTCGGTGCTTTTTCCTTTGGTTTTGGGTGAATCTGATGCTTATATAAGAATGAGAGACTAGTGTGGCTGGCTGGAGCAAGGTACTTCACAAGCATTACGCGGGCAGCTCTGCCAATGCACCTCTATCTTTTTTTTTCTTTTTTTTTCCTTTTTTTTTCTTTGTATTTATTTATATTCTTTTTAATTTAGTGCTGGTGAAAGGTGCTGGATTGACCACCCTGGAGGCTGAAGCCCTCTATTTCCCCACAGAGCAGATGCAGCATGGGCGGCAGCCGTGCAAGCTTCCCCACGCTGCCCCCTCCAATGTGCCTCATCTCTGTGCCGGAGGGACCACCTCTAGAGGTGAGAGGACAGTGGAGTCTCCGTGACCCATCCGAGCCTTGGCCTTTCTGCTGAGACTGCCAACCAAGCGACCACAGTCACCGCGCTGCAGCTGAGCACCTCAGGCTGGAAGTCTGTGAGGGCCAGCAATTCAGTGCACGCGGGCCACTTAAACTGATCGGTGTAAGGGCCACCTAAATTGATCGGTGTAAGGGCCACCTAAATTGATCAGCCTAGCGTCACCTAAATTGATCATCTCAGTCACCTCTGGCTCTAAGTCGAGCGTTTCAATTTTTAGTTTTTTATCAACTGTTTAAATGTTTTCCTTATAAATCCACATATTAGCTGCAAAGTGGAAAAAAGAAATCCCATTACATTCTTGTAGCACCTTCTTGTTGTACCTGCAAAGTCGTTTATGGAGCTCAGCTACTCACCCTGCTCTGAGGAGGCAGGTATCTTTATAAGGTAGATTAGCTGCGTCAGTGACCAAAAGAAGCCGCAAGCGTTTGCATTAATCCAGCAGGATTTTAAACTCTTATTTCTAATTCTCCCTTTCCAAGCAGGACCCTTTCACTGCAGTTTAAAGTGACACTAGTAAATCAGTTGACTTTTTCCAAAGAACATAACAGGGCCATTAAATCAGTATTCTGTTTAAAAGCTGCTCATCAAGAAAGTAGGTTCATGATGATTARGTGATATCAATAAAGAGGAGATTAAAGCAGCAAGGTTTACACAGAGGTTATAATGTACACAATTTAGAGCCAGGGTCTTAAATAGAATTAGAAAGAATATGCCGTCAGAATAGAGTAAGAATTCTCTAATTTTGTGCTAATGACAGGGAATGATGTTACTAGTTACTCTGTTTTTCAGATTAACAAGTACCTGGCTCAGGTTTCCTCTGGCTTGTCCCTTGTGTGGGCTCTCCCCTGTCCAGACAGCAACACTGTTGTTGTGTGCGGGATCAGGCAGAATTCCCGAGTTGGTTCTGGCTTCACTTGAGGTGATTCCCGAGGCTCTGCGGGAGGCCTGTTGGAGTTTAATAAATTACATTAAGGTTGCGTTTTGTAAGCAGGAAGTATAACAGGAAGGCCTGGAAAGAGCTATGAGTGGGTTTGGGGGGTTTTATTTATTTATTTGTTTTGGTAATTCAATTTAAAATATAGTTTTGACTCCTCCCAGGCACTCCAGAAAGGAAAATCTGACACTTAATGAGCGACCTGTTAAGACATCCCTACCGCTTCAGCCCCCTTTTCAGGTGCTAAAAATGAGTTCCTGTGTCTTAGCACTTGGCAAGAAACCATTTTCTTGCATTAAAATCCTTCTCAAAGCTAAAAGGTCATGACTTGGTAGAGCAGCATACTGCTTTCCTAACCATAATAAAAATAATGAGTTTAGGAGCACAGTTTCATTAAATTTGAAGATTTACTGTATTAATTTTCAGTTGCATTTCTTAAAAGGCATACTGGCCATTTGTGGATTAACATTTTTGTAATTAAGAAATGAAAAACAACCTTTGCCTTCAGCATAGGTTTTGCTTTCCCATTAGTAACAGGTACAACACGGAACACATCAAGCGTACCTGGTGAACCAGAGCTGAAAGGAATGAGCCCCAGCACATTCTGCAGCACTTCCTATGGCCACTGCAGTCACCCTGAAAGTTTTAAAAGATGTGACTTTATCTTTTACACTTTGTCAGTCTCTGAAAAGGAGCCCTGATCAATGTGCTATTTGGCTGAAGCAGCAGCCCTGATTATTAATAAATGCTTCACTATCGTCCCTCCTGTAGCCCTTGATCTGGAGTTTTTCCAGCCTTAATTTTGTCTGCAAACCAGATGCTTGGCAAAGTCTGATCTTTGTAGCGCTGCTTCTTTGCCAATTTAGGACACCAAATAGCAGGGCTGTTTCTTAACCTAGACCCTGCCACCTTATTTAGCATACGTGGGATTTTTCAGGTCACGTAGAGCAAGAGGTGGTTTGCACCTTGGGCAAAAAAAAATGCCACAGGATAAAAAAAAAAAAAAGGAAAATTTTGGTGTTGATTGCACGGTGACACAGTCCTGAGCCCAAGATCCTGCAGGAACAGGGCTCTTTGTGACCTGCGAGGAGAGAGCCTCAGCATAAAGTGTTAACCCGTCTCACAAGGTGCTGTTGTACATACGAGCAGAGAATGTTGTCCGTGTTTCTGTCTTCTGTCTGGGGCGTGAATGAGTTTGCAGCAAGAATGCAGCTCCCTTGCAGCTGTGGATGCAGGGACGGGGGGGGGACGATTTCCGCGGGCTCTGCCACCCCTGATGCCACTGTTGCAATTGCAGGACGTTCTGCATTCTGCTGGACACGTTGTCCCGCGCACTGTGTGCTGATGTGGGTGCCCCCAACTGCATGTTTGCTTTTGCTGGGGTAAAAGCTGCATTAACCGGCCCCGATGCCTTTGCTCATGTGTCAGCGTGCTGTCCAGGTGACGTGTGTGGAAGTCTGCAAGAGGGGGCATGTATTCCCCGCCAGCCGGCATGGCTCTGCGCTGCGCTCCGTGCTGCCGTGTGCTCAGTGTGTTTGTGACACTTAGAAGCAGTGCCAGTTCCAGCTCACTTCAGCACAGCCGGTTCTGCCTATATTGGGCACCCTATGGAAAAGCGTGGATCCAAGCTGAAAGGAATGGTTTTGGGAACAAACCTGGTGTCAGCTGTAGTGATGACAAGGAAGTGCGTTGTGTGGCTCAGCTTGAAGAACACGACTCCCAGATAATCCTGCCTTCCAGGAGACATAGCACAAGAAACACCCCAATCTCTTAAATTTGACAGCTGTCCAGCTAGCTAATAGTTAAATCTACCAAATCCAGCATATCCTTGCTCTGCTTTTGTAAGGATTAGCACATTTCCCGTTGCCACGGGCCAGCTCAGGCTAACACCACGCTGAGCAGTAACTCCCTGGCATGTGGATGCACACGAGGAAGGAGCCACCCGCGTTTGTAGGCAATTCAATTTATTGCTGTTTGAACAAAGAGGAGGCCAAGCAGGGTACCTACTGCCTGGCCACCCCTCAGGCTTGACCATAACTGAGGCTTTAAGCAGCTTCCTGCTCCAACTGACTGATGTAGCTTAGGCTTTTACCCTTTTTTTTTTTTTTAGTTCCTCCAAGTCAGTCCTAAAATGCACAATGTTATGGCATTTGGATAACTCCAAAATACTTCCCGGTGTGAGGGAACTTTGGGCGTTATGAAGCAGAGCCACAGCTGATTCCATGCAGATAGGCAGTTTTTTTTAAGAGAAAGAAGGCAACTTAAAACTAGCAACGTCTTCCACACCACATGCAGAATGTCCTTAGCTGTCTGTAGGAAGCCAGGTGCTCTTGGCCCCTTGTGCTGTGCACCCCACCACCCGCTAGCTGCTCCGTGGGCTCCGCACCGCGTCTCCTCGTGTCCCGTCAGGGCGTCGTGCCCAGTTTGCCGAGGAGGACCAGCTCGCTGGGCATGCCGCGCCGTGGCTGTTGTCTGTCCCGTGTACGTGATTGTTCTCACTCGTTTACAGGCTCTCCCTCTCTACCAGATAAGTACCGCCACTCTCGGGAGCTGATGATGCTGCTACCGACGCACCGGGACCGCCCCAGCAGCGCCATGTATCCCGCAGCGCTCCTGGAAAACGGACAGGTAGCAGCTCTCCTTGCTCTGTAGCTCAGCTGCCCCAAGGTGGGACTTCGGTTTCTACCCTTTCTCATTGCCTGGGGGCTCCCTTTTTGCTGTTTGGAAAGTACAGCAACTGCTGTAGGACTTTTTTCAGAGGGGTTTTCAGGTTTTCAAGAGGTCATGCAGACATTTCCACAGTCGTTGCCTATCAGAGCTCCCCCATGTTGGTAGTCAAGTGACACAGACTGTAAKGACACTGTTAAAACCGCAGAAATTCCTTGTGAAAAGGGCTGTTCTTCCCAGCTTTGTCACATAAGCCCTGGTCCACTGCAGAGTCACACTGTGTATTAACTCCTCTGGACCATGTCTGTCCTGTGGTCTGGTCTCAGAGGTGCTTCTMAATACCTTTATGCTGCTTTTCCAGAAATGATAGAGGCCACAARAGACTGAATTAATAACACAGTCTCTGAACAGTCTGCCCCCTTATCAACTACTGGCACATGGAGAAGTTTAGGTTGTGCCTAATTTATAAATTTAAATACCTGCAGTTTAGTTTGGCGCTGAGGCACGTGGAGGAAATTTCCTTCAGGTCTCRTCCAAGAACAGCCTCAGAGCCTATGAACTGAAACAAACTCTGAAACAAAACCAAATTAGAAGGTGAGCTCCAGAGAAGCACATGATGTACGTGAGCTGCCAGGGGACAGGAGGGCCACCCAGAGCTAGGCTGAGCTCAGCCAGACACCTCCAACAGGGGGTCCTTAACACCATTACGCTCCAGAGTGCCACTAGTATCACACTGCAGTACCTGATAACCTAGACATAGCCTAAGATTCCCATACATTTTTAATTAAAATACTTTTTTTTCCCCTAAAGAAAGYAAAGGGGAAGTTCCAGGGCTCTGCACCAGCTGCTCTGTACCTGTTTTCACCTTTCTGTGCTCACTTTGCTCTCTCTTAGCCTCCAAGTTTCCAGCGCGCCTTCATCCAGCAGATGATCGGACCGTGCAAACCTTGCAGTGATCCCAACCTGTCCGTGGCTGAGAAAGGTATTTTTTTTCCAAGTTAACATACATACTACCTAAACTATTATAACTCTGGTCACACTGCAGCTTCTTTCTGCCTTCCTTGGCTGAGTGCCTTCATTTTTAAATTGGGAGTTTAATGAACTGGGCCTTCTGCCAACATATAGCTGTCTCAGATCCCTCATAGAAGGGTTGAGTTGCACTAACCTTTCTAATTCAGAGACTGTTTTTGAGGTTATCACTGGGCCAAATCCTGCAGCTTTTAGCAGGTAAAACTCATAAAGCAACAAATGAGAACTTACTTTAACAACTGCAGGATTTGGAGCCTTTAATACTTTTTTTTTTTTTCTTCAAAGCATTAACATATTTTTGTAATTCTTTTGTAAGACAGTTTTATATTTGGATGTATCATTAGGGATGCATGCTTTTGAAAATCACTGCTTTGAGAAAAGGAACTAATCTCTGTTAGTAAGGGGAATATTTGAAGGAAGAGTTTAAAGCACARCAGTGGTGTTAAGGTAAGATGCAGCATGGAGGGAAAAACATTAAGAGGTTATGTTGAAGATTTCCCAGGTGAACGTGGAGGTTGCCATGACAGGTCTCCAGGCAGAGGCAAAATTAACCTGTCAGCAGCTGGCAAAGGACAGCAAATAGTTAACACAAAAGAAAACATGATAAAAGCAGTTTGGTGTAATGGGAAAGGAGGAGCTTGTCAAAGGGGCTCCATGGACAAAGCGATGGGCTCAAAAATGATCTGAAAAAGCACAAAGAAGCCAAATTTGCAAGCCAAAATCAGGGTCAAGGATTCTGCCATAAGCAACAGCCCTACGTACGAGTTGGAAAAACGGTATCGTGAAGGTTGAAGGTTTTAAGGCCAGGAAAGGCTGTCGTGTTTGTCAGGCCTCACTGGTGTAATGCACACCCCAGGCCATGACTTCTTTTCAGTATTCTTGTTTCAGTACTTGTGCCTTAACTGAATCCTATCCTTAAAAAAAAAAAAAAAATCCAAACTTCTGGAATTTTTATTGAATCAGAATTCACTACCACCTACTGTGGGATGGCCTCAAAGAGGTCCAGATCAAGACCAAAAGCCAACTTATTGAACGAACAGCAGAATGATCATTTTTGTCCAAAAGGGAGAGAGAAAACGTGGTGTGAAGGAGCAAGAGCTCTGGCCTAGCCGTGTTGAATTGGAACTGAGCACRTGACAATGGGGAGGGTGAGATTTTCTTATGCTGCGCAGGAGAAAGATCTGGATCTGGAAGGTATATATGCACATTGGCAAGGTACAATTACTACTTAAATCTGTATTTGCCGGTAGTATTTATGCAGCACAGGGCAAAGGAAAGGAGAACAGGGACAGAGCCTGCTCCCAAGCTGTGCAAAGAGGACATGGAAGACGCAGTTGATGCACACGATTGCTCCCTATGGATGGGGTTATGGGAATCCCATCTCTTTGGCCACATTGTTACAAATGCACCTGCTGGCATTTTTGCAGCCTYTGAACCCTCATTGCGCTTTGTAAGTGAAAACAAGGCACATGACATCCTGACTTGAGTCATGTCCCACAAATTTATCCAGGCCCTTTCCTTGCCGTGTCAAAAGCTCAGTTCATTAATGCTCATTGACAGCAGGGTGACATTTGCCCAGAGCACAACTGTTCAAATGCAGCTTCCCTCCTAATTGAACTTGGCCCTCCAAGTGAATACTGTTCCGGAGAGCGAGCTGGGCAAGGACAGGGCACTAGGAGCCCCCTTAGATGTTTTTTTTTCACAAAGCATTTTGGATAAAATGCTGCTTTTAACAGGCAGCAGCCACCTTCCAAAGTGCTCTGACGTCAGCATCATTTCCAGCTCTCCTAAATACCCAAAAGGCAGTGAATAAGGGAACACTGAAAACAGGTAAAGGATCATGCACTAGGGTACCATGATCTTCACATTTTCTGTYACTGGTTGGTATGCCAGTTATTATTTTATATTTTCTTAATTATCTTTCTTAGCAATATCAGTACAGTACCAGACTAGTCAAAATATTGGCACCTTGTCACGCCGAATCCGAAGAACCACTTGCAGCAGCTGAGCCGCATCAATCTCTCGGAGCACTAAACATCTCAGGTGCAATCCAGGCATCCTTGTTCAGTAGATCTGTAAAAACATGTTAAATTTGCATGTTAACTCTCCCCAAGGGCTGTTATCAGCTGGTACCCAGTTTACAAGGCTGTGTAAAAGAAGTGGCTCACACACACACATTCTCATTTCCTCTTGTCCATCTTCTTAATCATCCTGARATGACCAAGGGTGTGCAGCAGACAGGGATTTCAGAGGCAGAGCAAGCTGAGAAAGCATCGAGAAGGTTGAGGGATTTATTGTCCCCCATCGCATCAAGTGATGTCCCATCAGACACTCAGGTGTGAAATTTCTTTAGTCCCCTCGCCACATAGTTTTAAATCTTGGAGAAGGGACTGGGTAGAATTCTCCTGATAAAGACACTTGGACATTGTCTGTCACTTGTGCGACCTTCACACCCATCCAAGTGACCTTGACTGAATCCTTCCAATTCRGAGTAACTTTGCTGGCCAAACACTGAACACTGACAGCAGCTCCCAGGGGAGCAGCTCACTACAAAATCGATAGTTTTATAGGTTGAACAAATCAGCTTTTGTGCTGCCCTTCTTGCCCAATGCCAGTATAGCACAGGATAAAACAAGACACTGGCATAAGAGCACCGTCCTCTCTGCTTGTAGCCTTTGACACCAATTACAGGGCCAATTAGAGCACTCTGGCACATGCACAGCACAGGCAGGGCTGTTCCCCAAATTAATCTGAAGCTGTTTTGCCAGTGTCCAGATGAAACAGAGCCMCTGGTTTGAACTTGTTCTGCCAGGCTGCTTGGGATCATCATCTTCCTGTGTCTTTGCTCAGATGGAGGGTGCTCTTCTTTTAAAACAACATTTACTTTAACACTTTAATGTCTGGGAGGAGCAGTTCTGCCTTATGAGGCTGTCCTTTTGTGGTCTTGTTTTCTTTATAATGGGGATTTTTAACTCCTTGGGGAGCCTGAGTTTATACTCGCTCGTGAAGTATGAAAGAATTCCAAAGAAACCTTTCAAAGTCATTTTAGAAGAGATGCACCACAGTAGTTGCAGGCATTTTAATTAGGGGGAAATTCTCTTCAACTGCCAAACTGCATGTTTTTTTTCTCCATGCTTCTGTTCTCCCTGTTTCAAATTGAAGATGACAAAATCTTSCTCTTCTTTGGTAGACTTACTGAATTTCTATTTCTTTCAGTACTGGAGGAAAGCCTTCCTGTCCCTCTCTCTGGATTAACAAACACTCAACCTCTAGACTTAACTGCCTTATTTCACTATCTTGCAACCAAACTTTGTGATTATGCTGTGGCTCAGTAAATTTTGCCTTCAACATCATCACTTCTGCTGTTCCCCTTGAGGTGTCATTACCCTCCTGTGCTCTACGTCCCGGTGTTTCCTCGGGGTTCTGCTACATATTCCTTGCTGCTCTGTACTCTCAGCTAAGCAGTCTTGCTAACAACTGACCCCTCTCTCTGCAGTTCCATCCATGAAGTTTCTTCTTACCTCTTGGTGGCTGCCGCGTTCCTCTGCTCTCAAAGCTCAGCCCAAGGGCTCATGAAGGGGCAAGACTAACAGCCCCCGCCACAGCCTCTCACGTCCTTAACAGTGCAACCTATAAACTTACCCCACTGCAGCCTAGCAGATCTCTCTCTGTGCTTTTAATCCTTCCATTCACCGAGTCCATAGAATCTATCCCCTTTTTTCTACTAAAGGGTGCATGGGAAAGCCAGTGGTGGCACCGGCCAGCCCGCGGTGTCACCCAGGGTCACTGTGTTTCACTCCTCCAGCGGTGCCGGCAGCGCCCAGCAGCTGGAGCCTAGACAGCGGGACGAGAGAGGCGCTGCCCTTCCTGGCTGCCCATCCTGGGAGCATCCCGGCCCCACCGGTACCTCCCCGAAGCCTGCCCCATGGTAAGGAAACGCCCAGCAGGTCCAGGGCRCGCTTCCCGCACCGCTAAATCCTTGGCCGCTGACTTGAGAACTCACCTCAGCCTGTTTCTGCGGTAGAAAAGAGAAAAGCAAAGTCTTTCCTTGTCTGTTAGGCTGAATATTGCACAAAATTTTCTTTTTTTTTTTTTTTAATCTTCCAGCTTTTATATTCTTTACAGTAATGCAGACTTGAGTGTGTTGGGACCAGAATTAGGTTTGTGAGTGCTGGAAGCCTGGCCTGGCTCCCTGCCAGTGACTATCTGCAGCAGCAGCTTAAGGTTACAAAGCTATTAAATGAAGCTTCAAGTGTTTGTTGTTTATGAGCCTGTTGCCTTGCCGCAAGATCCTTGATACCAGAGGTGGGTGCAAATCTATCATTGCTCTGAGCTGCTCATTAGCCTTTTGCGATGGTTTGAGGGCTGCAAAGCCCAGGATCTGTTAGAAAGGAGGTTGGAGCAGAGCTATGAGCACTTGGAGCTGCTGCCTGTGTGGAAGACCCGCTCTTCCATTGCTGGGAGGCTGTACGAGCCCGTGTGTCTGCTCCTTGTCTCCTTGCAGGCCACTACTCGCTGCACTTCGATGCCTTCCATCACCAGCTCGGCGATGCTCCTCCTGCACTGCCCGCACGAACGCTGCGCAAGGTAACGCCACGGGGCCGGCGAGCAGAGTAGCATGGAGGGCAAGTGCCAGGTCCCCAAGGAATCCCCTGCCTCCGAGCAGCTCTTGAATACAGAAACGCTTTTTCTAATGTGCTAATAACTTAAACCTGAGAAAACTGAAAATTCATACCTTATTCTGCAGCTGAATTCTATAGAAAGAGTTCGGCTGTGTTGCAGGCCCTTCCACTTGCCTTCCTTGCCTGGTACGCTGGGATTTCAGGCATCCTTGGGAYGGTGGGAGGGAAGGGTATCACCACAGTTGACTTGGGTGAGAACCCCAGTGTTGCCAGGTGCCTTCCTTGCCCATGGGAGGCACTTCTGCATGGGTCAGGGTAACACGTATACAAACAGTGACTGSTGACGTGCTGAACACAAAAGGAATTGCTTCCATCAGTGCCACTGTTAACTGTAAAAACCAAAGCAYGAAGCAATGTGATGCAGAGCTGCCTCCTTTGCCAGTTTTAACTGGATTTTTGTCCTTCTCTGAACAGTCCCCTCTTCATCCCATCCCTGCATCACCCACTAGTCCCCAGTCCGGTCTGGATGGAAGTAACTCCACTTTATCGGGGAGCGCCAGCAGTGGCGTCTCCTCCCTGAGCGAGAGCAATTTTGGACATTCCTCCGAAGCCCCTCCTCGCACRGACACCATGGATTCCGTCCCGAGCCAGTCCTGGAATACCGACGAAGACCTGGAGACCCCCTACCTCCCCGTCAGGTACAGCCTCTCTGAGCCTGATGTCCTCGAGTCRCTCAAATCCCAGCCCTGCCGAAGCCACTCCGCACCCTCTGGAGTCATTCCTCAGGACCCCATGGACCCGCCCGCACTGCCCCCCAAACCTTACCATTCCCGACTCCCAAACCTGGAGAACGAAGAGGGAATGATCATTGAAGACGACGACAAACACCGGCCCCTGCATCGCAAAGTGTCCCAACCAGTGGGCGGGGGAAAGGAAGAGCAAGCCAGGGTAGCGTGGGAGCACGGCATCGGCGAGCCGTAGGAAGAATTCCCGGGCGAGCAGCTTCCATTCCAGGCCTGACAGGAAGGGAGAGGCGTCAGGACTCGGAGAAGAGCAAACCAGTTTTCTACTGCCGTGAGTTAACGGCTGGAGCCCGTGCAGCCAGCTGGGCCAGCATGCGAGGTTGCTGCTTTCCTTTCTGGTTTCTTTTTACACCTTTCAGTTGTGTTTTTAACTTTCTGTGCAGTGGACGGTTTATTCCTTCGGCGGTTTCGGAACCACCACGTGGCACGTGAGCCCCCGAGACCCCTGGAAGCTGAAAAGAGACAATATTTAGTGGGAGGAGGGAGGGAGGAAAGGTGACGAGTTGGTTTTAAAACTTCTTTCCTCCCCGTTGAGACGCACACGAGTAGAAGCAGTTGCACTAGGGACTTACTTCTTTGCTGTACAGAAGTGAAAGCTCATTGCTGAATTCAGGGATTCTACGAACTGTCAGGCTGGAAGGTGCATGAGCTGCAGGCAGTGGAAGATGGCAATTCTGAGAAGAAAATGGCTCTTTTGAGAGCGGAATTGTACATATCTGTGCGGTGATCTCCCTGCATTGGTTCACAGGTGCTGAGGCGATCTCACCAGTGCTCATGCACTGATTTCCAACATACCATTTCCAACAAACTCTGCCTCCTTTGTTTTTGTTTTATTTTTCTCTTCATGTACCGTTTGATTTCCTAAATTTTGCTTTCACTGGTTAAGCCAACCTGCTTCTCATTGGAATGATAATCACCTATGCTACGGGATGGGAGGGGGTTTGTAGCCACTGGAGCTGCGACTTGATTGTAGGCCTTCCTAATGCCTAACTTCGGGCAGGCTGTTGACACCAGCATTTCTATTCCCATTAAAAAAAAATAAAAGTAAAAAGAAAAGAAACATATAAAGTTGAGTTGCTCATGCCCCAGGTGACCGATTACTCAGCTGGTAAAGGAAAGGTGGTTTAAATACACCCAAACCCTTGCCTCAGGGCTGAACATCATGATCCTCACCAMCATCCCTGCCCCAGGATAAATCCAGGTAATGAATCTGCTAGGATTCATTACCTATTATCATAAGGTCCCTCAGTCCTTCTCYAACACTCACTGTAGCTGCTGTGCAGGATCATCCCCTGCTGTAGACAGAAACCATGTAAGAAATGCCCCTTGTATAACGCRCTCCCCAGAGTCATGGAGTTTAAAGGCAATCTGTAAAGAAGAAACATTTGTTTCCTCTTTTGCTCCTTTAAAATGTTGAAAGAAGCTTCATGGGAGGCTGTTTCTTTTCCTCCCCACCCCATGCTGCAGTACAGTTTGTTTCCCCCCCCCCCCCATAGACCCTGGCAATAAATAAATGGCTGAAGAGCTTAGCACAAGGGTGATGTCAGAGAACACAAGGAACAGAATGATGGCAGAGATGGAGGCAGCAATATCTATGAATGAAGGGAAAAAAAAAAACCCACAAAACTTTTAATCAGTATCTGCTTAGTTTAGTACACGAGAAACCAGGAAAATATTCTGTGGCAATTGAGCCAAAACCTGATCTTTTAAAGACTCTAAGAAATCTTTTACTCCTGTTTGCATTTTTTCCCCTCAAAAATTTCAGACGAAAGGAGGGAGAAAGTATCAAACATTTAATAGATCTTAGATAAACAAGAACTGCTCCTTCCCCCTTACCATACTTATACACCTTTAGCCCTCCTTATAACCCTTTTCTCCTGCAGATTGCAAAGCACACTGCAAAGGATGGGAAGAGAAACACCACACTATTTCCTACGATGTCAAACCCTATAGCATGTTCAAATAAGAGATTTCCTCTGCCTTTCTAAGTGTGAGAAACAGGACTGGCACCCAGCTCTCACATCCAGTTCCTGCCCTAACCACTCAGTTTTTCATATTACAATCATAATGCTACCCAAAAAAATACATCTATGCTTTGCATAAAGAAGCAAAAATGGTATTGCAAGTCTTTTACAGGTCACCTTTAGCACCACCTCTAAAGAACAGGACTGGGCAGAGAMCACTGTATCTGAACTCTAAAGATGGTCGGTCTGCACGAAGTCTGGACTCACCTCTGGTATGAAAGGGACTGTAAGAGGATTCGTATCTTTTCTTTGACAAATTCTATCCCCCATGAAAKTAATACGTTTTGAGTTTCTTACATGGCCTGGTTACATGTTTGGTTGGAACAAAGTCTCTCTTGTTTCCTCTGCTTTGTTACTAACACAGACTACTTGTAGCTACTCTATCCTTCACCACAGAGACAATGCTGTTAAAATCTGGCCTACAGCGGGCATTTCATCTCCAGCAGGAAGGGGAGTTTTCCAAAGCTAGGACAGTCCTAAATACTAATGAATAAAGGTGCATTCCTGCTATCAAGTGTATTAACAAAAAAAAAAAAAAAATGCTTTCAGTGAAATCAGGATAAGTTCTTAGAAATGAATATTTAAAATTTCACTTGAAGAATCTCAGTTTGGAGAACAGCTYATGTGAAAATAAGTATTCAATTCTATCTCCCCTATCTCTCTTTTTGCTAGGAAGATTAAAATGGCCTAAACATAGTGATTTATTGAGATTCTTCATAGCAAAAACAAGTTTTGCAAATAAGCTTGCAAATAAGTATGCAGTTAATGTAGGACTAAATCCCAGCCAGCTGGAAAACCTACCCACCGGGCTGAACAATCTCTTAAAAACAGATCATCCTGCTCTGAGAGACAGCGAAACAGCAGTGTGTGCAGCTGCAGGGTGTGCTATGACTGCATCCTTTTAAGAGTTTGAAGATGAAATCATGTACCCAAGTATCCAGTTTATGGCAGGTCCACACAACAGATTAAYTTACTGAATTTATAAAATCGGAGCAACTTCTTTGAACAATTTCTGTTACTGGTCCAATATCTGCCATGCATTTTGTCTGCCTTTTCAATGCGTAACTTCAGGGAGGCCTAGAGATAGATTACTCCTAAAAAAAGAGGGATTTCATGGATGTGGAACTAATACTTCTCTGTGGGATGGTTTAGAGCATGTAAAACATCAAACTCAGTCCTGTGGCAGGTGGAAGCAGTAGCCCTTATTCCATTCACCCTTCAGGATGTGAGGATTCATTGTATAGCCAGAGTAACAGGATGGTTTAGAAGGGGACACAGTCATTCCATTCTCATGTGCTAAGTCTGAATCAGAAGTACTTGCCTTGGGTTTCTGCATAGCCATTGTGTATTCCCATGAAAAAAACAGCGGAATTCTGCTGAAATCTCTCCATCCTCAACACATCTGCTGGCCCCATCTGAAAGACAAAGGAGAAGGAACTACAATTACAGAAAAAAAGCAATTAGAAAAATATCACTGAAACCTGTACATTTTTTACTCAAGGGTTGGGAAGAAAGTTTTGTTTCTATTGCCATGTGCAAGACTAAGGTTTGGGTTTTTTTTTTTTTTTCCCTCCTTTTTTCTCCTCCCCCCCCCCCCCCTTCATTTCCCCTTTAGCTTACTTGCCCTTTTTTAGGTAAGTAAGGGATATAGAGTATCCCTTCTGGGGGAGAATCAGCCAAAATTGGACAGGCTGGAGAAAGCAAGAGCCTTTGGAAAACAAATTAGATAATATTTAGACTTTTCTCTGATCATACATCTTTGTAAATACCTCCATTTGAATGCTGTGTATTTGTACAGGAAATTGAGCAAAAAATGTATAGATTGTGATGTCTGACTGGTATTCTGCCCTGTAAATGTGTTTTTAACCTCTGGCATTCTGTGCTTATTTAAAAAAAAAAAAGGCAAAAACCTCTAACCACTTCTCTTTTGTGTATTCATGTTTAAAATAAAATTAAAAGAAAAAAAAAAGCTATCTTATCTATAATGGAAATCAAATTTAAAAGGAGAAAATAATTTGTACAAGTGTCCTAAAGGTACTTCATTGTATATATTGTGATAGCATGTTTCCAGAACCAACAAATTAAGTGGTGTGAATTTTAGATGTAAATATCTGCCGTTTGTTTTGGGGTTCTTTCCCTTACCCATTCACTCGACTGCTGTGATTGTGGAATTAAAGATTAATACCTGATATTAAAATTGTACAGCTGTATGGTCATTGCAGTCCTCCTCACGGGGTTGTTCTCRGGCTGCTTCCAGCAGTCACAAGACCTGTGGTGTCAGAACGAGAAGCAGCACAACTTTTATCCTTGCGGGTTACATTGAAGGAACATCCATCATGCACTGGAGGAAGAGCCAACACTTGGCAGATCTGTGCAAGGGAAGAAGAACAAAAAAAAAAGATGTTAAGGCTTTTCTCTGTGGCAAGAGGCCAGTTTCCAAGCTGCTCTCAGACTGACAGTACACAAATTAGGATTTCACCTTCTTACAGCTAGTGCCAGGTGTAGTCATCCACTAAGCTGGTCAACGAGGTACGTGACATATGCAACAGCCYGAGACCTGCTTGGCTATCATGAGCATTAAATACGCACTTCTGAGGCCATACTTTCAAATATGGATTCAATTAACAATTACTGATCCAGTATCTACCTCAGGGACAGATAGTTGTACTTTTTTATTACAAAAGTTACAGTGGTATCATTTCATTCCATACAGGAAAACAGGATTTGGGCATTAA